GAGGCTACTCTCCCTTCCTAGTACCCACCAGCCTCACACCAGCTCACAGCCAGCCTACTCCTTCCCACCCTACACCCTCCTTTTTTCTTACACCTCCACCCACTCCCATCCATAATTAAATCCCCTTCCACCAGGCCCCACTTCCAAAATTCAGAATTATAGTTCCACATGAGTTTTTCTAGGGTAACATAGCCAAACCATATTATTCTGACCATGACCCACCCTGAATCTCATGTCCTTCAAACAGAGTAAAAAACAATCATGCTTTTTCTTTTCTTTCTTTTTTTTTTTTGAGAAGGGAGTTTTGCTCTCGTTACCCAGGCTGGAGTGCAATGGCGCGATCTCGGCTCACCGCAACCTCTGCCTCCTGCATTCAGGCAATTCTCCTGCCTCAACCTTCTGAGTAGCTGGGATTACAGGCATGCGCCACCATGCCCAGCTAATTTTTGTATTTTTAGTAGAGACGGGGTTTCACCATGTTGACCGGAATGGTCTCGATCTCTTGACCCCGTGATCCACCCGCCTCGGCCTCCCAAAGTGCTGGAATTACAGCCGTAAGCCACCGCGCCCGGCCCTCATCTGAGACCTTTTATGTCTTGTCTTCATTGTCCATCCTTCTGTCAGCCTTCTGATCACAAGTTTTTAACAATTCTCTGCAGTGGTTCAAATTTTTCCTAATCTTGCTGTCTTCTAAGCTTTCCCAACTCTCCTGAACTTTGTCTTTTACCGACTTCTAAACCTGCTTCTACATTTTTAGCTCTCTTTTTTACAGCCTGGCAATGTGATAAAAGAAGGAAGGTCCACTTTCAGGGGGAAAATCCGAGAAGGCTTCAGATATTTGCATGAAAAGAAGCTGGGTGCTGGTTGCCAAGACAATGGGGAAAGGCCTTGAAGGCATTTCATAGCTCTACTTCACAGCACTAATTTTCTGTATGATCAGAAAGAAAAGGGGTTTGGCCGGACGCAGTGGCTCAAGCCTGTGATCCCAGCACTTCGGGAGGCCCAGGTGGGTATATCACGAGGTCAAGAGATTGAGACCATCTTGGTCAACATGGTGAAATCCCGTCTCTACTAAAAATACAAAAATTAGCTGGGCATGGTGGCGCGTGCCTGTAATCCCAGCTACTCAGGAGGCTGAGGCAGGAGAATTGCCTGAACCCGGGAGGCAGAGGTTGCAGTGAGCCTAGATTGCGCCATTGCACTCCAGCCTGGGTAACAAGAGCAAAACTCCGTCTCAAAAAAAAAAAGAAAAGAAAAAGAAAAAGCTTTTACTTAGACACCCAGCCTTTTTCTTACATCCTCTGAGGTCTAGACGAAGGCTCTCAAGCCTCTAGTCTCTGGCTTTGTGCACCTGCTAGCTTAACACGGTGTGGAAGCCGTCAAGGCTTGGAGCCATGTGAAGCAGTGACCTAAGCTGTACCTGTGCACCTTTCAGACCTGGCTGGAGCTGGCGCTGCACGGATGCAGGCAGCAGTGTCCAGAAGATGCACAAAGCAGTGGCGCATGGAGATGGCCAAGGACATCAGTCTTCTCTCCTAGGCCCCAAGGCCTGTGACTGAAAAGGCTTCTGCAAAGGTCTCTGAAATGCCTTCAGGGCCTTTTTCTCATTGTCTTGGCGATTTGGACTGAATTCCTTTTTATGCAAATCCCCTAAGCCTTCTTGCATTTCCCCCCTGAAAATCTGCTTTTCTTTCTGACTTCTTTACCAGGCTCCAAATTTTCCTAACTTTTGAGCTCCACTTATCATGGAAATAAAAGTTCCAACTTGAGGTTATTTCTTAGATCACAAATAAGAGCACAAGCTCGGCTGGGCGTGGTGGCTCACGCCTGTAATCCCAGCACTTTGGGAGGCCGAGGCAGGTGGATCACGAGGTCAAGAGATCAAGACCATCCTGGTCAACATGGTGAAACCACGTCTCTACTGAAAATACAAAAAATTAGCTGGGCATAATGGCGCATGCATGTAATCCCAGCTACTTAAGAGGCTGAGGCAGGAGAATTGCCTGAACCCGGGAGGCGGAGGTTGCGGTGAGCCGAGATCGCGCCATTGCACTCCAGCCTGGGTAACAAGAGCGAAACTCCGTCTCAAAAAAAAAAGAACACAAGCTATTTGATGCAGACAGGACACCTCTTGAGCTATGCTGCCTGGATGTTCCATATATCAGATACATCCTAAATCATCATAAGTTCATAGTTTGACCGATCTTCAAGGCAGGGTCACCGTGCAGCCACATTCTTTGCTAAAGCCAATCAAATGTAACCTTGGCTCCTGTTCAATGGAAATTCCTCATTTTCATCTGAGACCGTTTTTTTTTTTTTTTTTTTTTTTTGAGACTGTTTCGCTCTCGTTACCCAGACTGAAGTGCAATGGCGCGATCTCGGCTCACCGCAACCTCCGCCTCCTGGGTTCAGGCAATTCTCCTGCCTCAGCCTCCTGAGTAGCTGGGATTACAGGCACGCGCCGTCATGCCCAGTTAATTTTTTGTATTTTTAGTGTCACCATGTTGACAAGGATGGTCTCGATCTCTTGACCTCGTGATCCACCTGCCTCAGCCTCACAAAGTGCTGGGACTACAGGCTTGAGCCACTGAATTTTTTGTATTTTTAGTAGAGACGGGGTTTCACCATATTGACCAGGATGGTCTCAATTTCCTGACCTTGTGATCCACCCGCCTCGGCCTCCCAAAGTGCTGGGATTACAGGCGTGAGCCACCGCGCCCGGCCCTCATCTGAGACCTTTTATGTCTTGTCTTCATTGTCCATCCTTCTGTCAGCCTTCTGATCACAAGTTTTTAACAATTCTCTGCAGTGGTTCAAATTTTTCCTAATCTTGCTGTCTTCTAAGCTTTCCCAACTCTCCTGAACTTTGTCTTTTACCGACTTCTAAACCTGCTTCTACATTTTTAGCTCTCTTTTTTTACAGCCTGGCAATGTGGTAAAAGAAGGAAAGTCCACTTTCAGGGGGAAAATCCGAGAAGGCTTCAGATATTTGCATGAAAAGAAGCTGGGTGCTGGTTGCCAAGACAATGGGGAAAGGCCTTGAAGGCATTTCATAGCTCTACTTCACAGCACTAATTTTCTGTATGATCAGAAAGAAAAGGGGTTTGGCTGGACGCAGTGGCTCAAGCCTGTAATCCCAACACTTCGAGAGGCCGAGGCGGGTGGATCACGAGGTCAAGAGATCGAAACCATCCTGGTCAACATGGTGAAATCCCGTCTCTACTAAAAATACAAAAATTAGCTGGGAATGGTGGTGTGTCCCTGTAATCCCAGCTACTCAGGAGGCTGAGGCAGGAGAATTGCCTGAACCCAGGAGGCGGAGGTTGCGGTGAGCTGAGATCGCGCCATTGCACTCCAGCCTGGGAAACGAGAGCGATACTGTCTCAACAAAAAAAGAAAGAAAGAAAAGGGGTTGAATTGGCTCGTGTTTCTGCAGGCTGTAAAGGAAGCATAGTGGCTTCTGCTTCAGGAAGGTCTCAGGAAGCCTCCCAATCATAATCTTGTTCCTACGTCTCCCATATGAAACATCTCCTTGCCCCTCCCAGAAGGCAAAGGGGCAAGAAGATATTTCATATGGGAGGATTAGGAACAAGACTGAAGGAGAAGAGGAGCCAGACCGTGTTATACAACCAGATCTCATGAGAACTCACTATCATGAGCATAGCATCAGGAAGACGATGCATAAGCATTGGTGAAGAATCCATCCCCCAGACACGCCCCCACCCCTACCTCCCACTGTTTCCAGGCAGAAGCCTGCTACAGAGGCAGAGCCTCTTGGAAAACCTCTATTAGGGCAGTTCAGAGGGAAAAATGGGCTTGGAGCCCCCACACAGGTGGCTACCACCCTCCAGAGCCGAGATTCATAGACCCACCCACCAAGAGCTTGCACCTGAGTGTGGAAAAGCTACAGGCACTCAACACCAGCTCAGTCCATGAGAGCAGCCGTGGAGGCTAAAACCTGCAAAGCCACAGGCGTGCTGCCCTAGTAGAGGTTTTCCATGAAGCTGTGCCTCTGCAGCTGGCTACTCCCCACTCCCACTACACCCCATCCTCCCACCACCCTACACCTCCCCACTTTACCCACCCCTTTTTCCTTCCACTCCCACCCCTACCCGTCCATGATTAAATCACTCCCATCTTTCTGCTGTTCTCTAATCCCTCCAAACCCTCCCAGTTTTTATTTGCTACCCACTTCTAAACCTGCTTCTACTTTTTTAGGTATCTCTACAGCAGATTGGCTGTGTATTGATAACACAAAACCCCATTTGAAAAGGAAAATCTGAGAAGACTTCAGAAACTGGCCTATAAAGAAGCCCTGTGCTAACAGTCAAGACAAACAGAAAAAGGCCTTGAAGACATTTCACAGCTCCACTCTGCAGTTGTAATTTTCAGTATTATTATAAATGAGAGAGGTTTAGTTGATTCAGCTTTCTGCAGGCTGTGAAGGAAGCATAGTGTCTTCTGTTTCTGGGAGGAGTCAGGGAGCCTCCTAACGACACCAGAAGGCCAAGGGACAATGAGATGTCTCCTACGGCAAGAGTAGGAACAAGACAGAGTGAGGAAAGAGGTTCCACAGCCTTTTAAACAATCAGATCTCCTGAGAACTCACTCACTCTCAGGAGGACAGCATCAAGGGGATGGTGCTTTATCATTCGTGAAGAATCTACCCATACCCTTTTATGGCTAAATCTTTTTCCACCTAGGCCCACCTCCAACATTAGGAAGTGTAATTCCACATGAGTTTTGGTAGGGACACAGAGACAAACCGTATTATTCTGCCCCTGACCCCATGAACCTCATGAAGGCAAAACACATTCATGCCTTACCAGCAGTCTCCCAAAGTCTTAACTCATTTCAGCATTAACTCAAAGCTACAAAGTCCAAAGTCTCATCTGAGTCAGGGCTACAGTCTCTTTTGCCTATGACTCTTTGAAATAAAAAGCAAGGTCCCTGCTTCTAAGGTGCAGTGATGGTACAGGCACTGTGTAAGCTTTCCGTACCCAACAGGAAGACATCTTCCAGAAAGCGTGGTTTCCTTCTCCGACCTCCTCGGCCCGCCCTTCCCTTGTCCGTGTCTCTGTCGGCATTTTTGGCACAACCATTTACCCATCTCCAAGATGGTCCAAACATTTTATCATCTGTCTGTCTTCTTTTGAGCCCTCCAAACTCTTCCAACCTGTGCCCATTCCCTAATTCCAAAGCTGCTTCCACATTTTCAGGTATCTTTGTAGCAAAGCTTTCATCTTCATCTGCCTTTTTCTGTATGATTTATTTTGAAAAAGAGGATTAATTGGCTCACGGTTCTACAAGGTGGACAGGAAACACAGTGGCTTCTGCCTCTGGGAGGCCTTAGAAATCTTTCAATCATCTTGGCAGGCAAAAAAAGAGTGAGTGGTCTCACATGGCAAGAGGAAAACTCGGAGAGTGGAGCGGATGACACTGTTTTCAATGACCAGATCTCAGGTGAAGTCACTGATAACGATGAGGACAGTAGCAAGGGGACAGTGCTAAATCACTCATGAGAAATTTGCCTTCACGATTCAATCACCTGACAGCTGATTCTGCCTTCACCATTAGGAAGTATAACTCGACATGGGATTTGGTGGGATGCATACTCGAATTGCATCATCAGTCTTTGAGTATAAAGACATCCACAGCAGGCTTTATCCCACCAGCTTCTTCGAGACTCTTCATAGGGTTTGAGGTGTACAGCATACACACTAAAATACTCATACGTCAAAAAGCAGTAAGGTAAGTGGTATTATCATTCTTGGAGAGTAACAGTGGTAGTGTAGGCATTTACAGCGTGATTTAGTTAATGTTTGCTGCTGTTTCTATTCTATCACCATATTAACTGTTTCCTACACAACTCTGTGTTCAGCTGGGTTTCAGCTGAGCACAAAACCACGCTTGTACTACCACCGACAGCTGGCGCTGGCTCACTGACAGTGTTATTATTCTGCGGTATAAAGTATCCTTGAACTGGAGAAAGTCCACAGTCAAATATCTGGTCGTTCAACACTATCAATTCCTGGTTGACTTTTTGAAAAAATAGTATCTTTTGTTGAAAGAAATGCTGCATCTGTGACTTCAAGTCTCTCACGTGAGTTGAAGGGAAGTGATGAATTTCAGCCAAAGTGGCCAAAGAAATCCTGTTCCTGTGATCCTGACATCCTCGGCCTCTGCATGTCTGTCTTCCCTTCTGCCACATGTTGCCTGCTCTCCGTGACTTTGGTAAGAGCTTCCTTATGGATGTGGATGATGTCCAGGATGTTGGCCAGGTGTCCCTGAGAGAGCACGAATAGGTCCATGACTGGTCCCAGGGTCCTGCCTGGGATGATCAGCAAAGATCTCACTGATGGTGTTGAAGGCACCTCTGGTTAAGTGGATGGCCTGCTCCAGCTTCAAGGCCTGGCTGAGGCTGAAGAACTGATCACCTGCTGATTCTTCTTCTTAAAGTCTGTCACCATCATCTGCTTCCACGTCGACTCACCAGCTGTGATGTTGATCTGAGTGTCCTGCTGTCCATCGTCTTGGTGAAGCACTCAAGACTGTCAATCTTGCTCTCCCACTCCTAAAGACTGAGAGCCACCCTGCCGGTGGGCTTGGGGTCAAGAAGAAGATGGCACTCACCATCTCATTTTTCTGTCTTCCTCTTGCCCTGTCTCCAGACTGTCTCTTCAGTGCTGGTGGGGCATGTCAAGAAGTGAAGGAAGGTGTGGCACTGTGCCCATGCCCAGAAGCTGGCTGTGTGGTTCATCCACCTGATTGGGCCCTTCTGCTCTTGAACATAAAGTTCTCCTCAAGATGGCCTGTTGTCTGCCTCTTGGCACCCAAAAAGCCCACAATGCTGTATGAGCCCTGATGCATGGACTGGAGCCCCAAAGGCAGCGCACACCCTGCTCCTGAGCCTGCTGCTCACGTCCTCTGTGTGGCTCCATTTGCATCATAGTTGTTGCACTGAGGCCCGTGCATGCCAGGCAAGGCCAAGCTGGCTCAAAGAGCAACCAACCACCTCTGCAAGGGTGTGCCAGGAGCAGGTGGACCAGCCACCAACCTTACTCACTGCCAGTCAGGATAAATCAGTTATTATGCCCGGAGGTAGGGCCCCAGTGCCATCTGCTTTTCCTCAGGCCTTCTCTCCATTACTCATCAGGTGGTGGCCACTCAGGCTGTCGGAACCTGGCCTCCCTGCTTCCCTGAGTGGGTGAGGTTGGTGACTGGTCCACCTGCTCCAAACACACCCTTGCAGAGGTGGCTGGTTGCTCTTTGAGTCAGCTTTGGCATGCACAGGTTCCAGGTACTGACATGCTGCTCTGAGTGAGCTTGTCCTGTCTTGGGTCAAATTTTAAGTCTGGCCAGGGCCACCGAAGGCTGAGTCCCCTGGGTGATAATCCTGGCTGTTGCTGGGGTGCCATGGTGCCCCTCCCCTCCAGGGCTCAGGATGAGGCCCAACTGGGCCAGGATCCTTTAGGTAAGGGTCATGTGTCCCAGGAGGGGGCCTCTGTCCCACTGGTTGGGTGAGAGGATGTATGGCATGCTGCTGGCTGTTAGGGTTGTTAGGATGCCGTGTTCTTTCCTTCAGGGACCTCAAAGTGACCATCTTCCCCTTTCAGAGTAACTTCCCAAGGCCCAGCTGGCTGCATGCCGCCCTGGCTTCTTCCATGTGGTGCTGGTCACTACCCACCAAGGGTGGTCAGATGCAGGCATCATGCCGGGGATTTGTCTCTGGACATTCATCTTGGTCATCATGGCATTGAACTGGGCCTGGTGACAGGGCCCTGATGGCGTTTTCCTGGGTGGTCCTGGGGGTGTCCAGAGGAGATACAGAATGGCCTTGCTGCAAGGATGAATGAGATAACTGTCAGCACAGAACAGGCATCTGGTGAGCGTTCAGGGATCACCCTCAGTAGCTGCCCAGAGGCCAAAACCACCCACCTGATAGTGACTGCCCCCAAGCCAGGAGGAAGAAAAGAGCAGGTCCCACTCACCTGAGCCTAATCAGTCAGCTGTGCTGAGATGTGCCTCTTGCCTAGAAAACAGTTCTGCGTTCAGAACCAGTCACAGACACTGCTGTGTGTCTCTCACTGCTCCATGACACAGGCTATGGGAGCTCAGCAACGGCAACATCACAGGGTGACACAACCCATCAAAATGGGAACCTGCCTGAATCAACAGGGCTAAGTCAGTGTCCTCTATCCCCTGAACTGATAGGTGTGCATGTAATGTGTTTCTCTCTCTCTGTGTGTGTGTGTGTGTGTCTCTCTCTCTCTGTGTGTGTGTGTGTGTGTGTGTGTGTGTGTGTGTGTGTGTGTCTTGCTTCTCTGGTCAGGCCTAGCTACTCCACTCATGGGTGCACTCAAGTCCCCATTACTGTCACTATCAGTCCCTGGGTCAGCATTACAGCCTCCACAGGTGTTCTCCAATCTCAGCCTTGTCCACCAAGGGTGGTCCTTGCAATACAGACAGAGGAGGGCACCAGGCAGAGCAGAGAGGGCTGGCACCCTCTCTAGGTAGAACCCAGGTCGCGTGTAAAGTTCTAGTGCTGGATTCAACACATCTTCTCATGTTCTCTTTCCAGCAACCCTCCAGGGTGCCTGACTCACCTTCCCTACAGATGGAGGCAGGGAGGCTCCACAGACAAATCCCCTGCCTGAGGTCACACAGTGGCCAACTGATCAGGTGCCTCTGAGCAGGTCCCCACTGATGGGGCCCCTAATGACTACTCCTCCATTGACTAGACCCCCTGACTGAGTCCCCATTGACCATGTCTCCCTAACTAGGCCCCCACTTAATAGGTCTCAAGGACCAGACCCCAGTGACCAATTTCCCACTGACCTTGTCCCCACTGACCAGGTTCCCACCGACAAGACCACAATTTACCAGGTTGCCACTCTCCTGACCCCAACTGAACAATTCTCTGTGGATCAGTCCCCAGCTGACTGGACCCTCTCTGACTGGGCTCCAAGCCGCTATGGTCCCACACTGACCAGGCCCCTAGTATATGGTATAGACCCCACCAACCAGGTTTTCAGTGTTTATGTTCCAACCAATCAGGGACCACTAATAAGGCTACCACTGACCACATCCCCACTGACCAGGCTTCCAGTGATTAGGTCACCAGGTCCCCACGATGAGGCCTTCACCACTAACCAGGTCCCTGCTGATCAGGTCCCAACTGACTATGTCCTGAGGACCAGGTCAACACTGACCATGGTCCCCTGACCAGGCCCCTGAGAAGCGGTGCTCAAAGTCTCATCCCCCTCAGCCCACAGACCCTTCCTCCTTGCCCAGAGGTCAGGCCCTGGGGGTTATCTTGGCATAAGGCCTCTCCTCCAAGACACAGGGAGGGACAGATGGCCTCAGGCTGCTTTACTCTCATCCCCCAAGTCCCTCTGGGCCCATCTCAAAGGAGACAGTGAGGTGGCCTGGCACTGCCTGGACATGCAATCTCTTCTATTCCTGAGTCTCAGAGTGAAAGGAATGAGGGACATTTGGCAGATGAGACACCCTGTGCTGCTGGGTCTCCCAGGGGCCTTCCCACAGAGCGCCGATCTAGAGACACAGCACAGAGGCTGCAGGAAGACTAATCCGGAACCTTCTAGGCTGAGCCAGGGTACACATAAGGACTGTTCCCAGACAGCCAGAAGGCCTTTTGCCAGTTTCTTCGTACCTCAGTGGATGCAGCCGCGGTTCTTCTGTTGGGGACAAAGGGCACACGCTGGGGAGGGCTCGCCTGGGCTTCCTTGTTGGAGCCACCTCTGCTTCTAAGAAAATCACTCATGCCAGGGCTGGGGCAGAGAAAATACAAAATTAGCTGGGAACATCTTGTGCCAGAAAGTAAAAACGTGCTGACAGAGTAACAGGGACAAATTAAAAAGACATAAAGTCAGCTTGAAATGTCTACCACTGGGCTAATCCTGGGCAATTGGAGGACCAAAATCATAAGCTTTCTCTCGTCCTTATTCATTGGTTCTGTTTCTCCCTTGAGAACAAAGGAGTGAATAAGGATATAGTCATCTGGCAACCATCACAGTAATAATTGTTCAAATACAAGTCATTAATGAAATGCCAAATCTAGTGGGTTCTGAGGAGTAACCAGATATTTACAGAGCCTCAAAGTATCTTCACACAAAACACTGTTGAACTACAGAAAGGAAATCATAACATTAGCATGGGCAAACGGGGCAGGTCCTCCTTTATTACTAGCAATCAAAACTGTCAAATGCAAAGAAGACTTCAGTGGCCTTTACGAAAGTATCAATGGTGATTTGGTTGCTTGGCTGTTTAAACAGCTGACATTTGGGCAATTTGAGTATGTCAAACTCAATAACGCTGGTTTTCATTTGCAAGATCCACTTAAACTAAGGGTAAAAAAATCATTTCAAATACCATATGAGTCTGGGCTTGGTGGCTCACGCCTGTAATCCCAGCACTTTGAGAGGCCGAGGCGGGTGGATCACGAGGTCAAGAGATCGAGACCATCCTGGTCAACAAGGTGAAACCCCGTCTCTACTAAAAATAAAAAAATTAGCTGGGCATGGTGGTGCGCGCCTGTAATCCCAGCTACTTGGGAGGCTGAGGCAGGAGAATTGCTTGAACCCAGAAGGCGGAGGTTGCGGTGAGCCAAGATCGTGCCATTGCACTCCAGTCTGGGTAGCAAGAGTGAAACTCCGTCTCAAAAAAATAAAAATAAATAAATAAATTTAAAAAAATAAAATACCATATGAATCTTCATTATACACATGATTTGAAAATATTCTACTTTAGTAAAGACTGTGATGTTATTTATTTTATGAGAAACAATTGAAATGTCATGTAAAAATCCCATTAATAAAGTTTTGACCTTTTTAAATCATATGCTTTTTCCTTAAGATTTTATGGTTTAGATAGTCTCTTCATTAGATGTGGTTTATCAGTGGATTTTAGAGAAGAAAGTAGACAGGAGCAAGACTGCAATACAGCAACAGCTGGAAAGAAAAAGAAAGAATTATGTTCTTTACTTAAGGAATTTCAGTTAACTAAGTGTGAGTTTAAAAACTAAAGAGCTGAGAAATTTATCAGTTAAGAATGAGAAATATGTATATACGATTATAATACAAAATTACTATTAATTTACACATGGAATTAATTATAATTGTGACTAAATTGAGCATTTTCATCTTCACTTATGTACTCAACAGCCATGTGCTGAGGTACCAGAACCAGCACTGGAATTACAAGATGAAGATGGTAGGTCATCGTACGCTATAACCAAAAAACAGACAGGCAGGCAATGTCCGTATAGAGTCATAGACCCTGTGACAGGTATACAGCAGGACACTACTGGAACACACAGAAGGGACATCTATCCGTTTTGTGTCAATATTTAGGCTTTCTGGTGGAAGCGATATATAGGCTGATGCCTGAAGCACAAGGGAAACCTTGCCAGGCAGAGGGAAGAAGCGAAGGCAAAGAGCCTGAGGTGAGGAACAGCTCTGTGGAGCTTTACTCCATCTAGTTTGGTGCGGGAGCAAAGGGCAGAGTGTGGTAAGTGGCAACAGACAAGGTTGAGTAACTTGACAAGAATCACATTGACCTGGGTGGCTTATTCCATAGTGAAAAATTTGGAACCTTTCCTGAGAACAAATGCAATCCAATGACAAAGTAAATAACAGGAGATTTAAAATGTCACCTGTAAAGTGACTGCTTATGAATGGTTATTGCTTAGCTATTTCTTTTTGTTTTTTTGAGACAGAGTTTCGTTCTTGCTATCCAGGCTGGAGTGCAATGGCACGATCTCGGCTCACCACAGCAACCTCCGCCTCCTGGGTTCAGGCAATTCTCCTGCCTCGGCCTCCTGAGTAGCTGGGATTACAGGCATGTGCCACCATGCCCAGCTAATTTTTTGTATTTTTAGTAGAGACGGGGTTTCACCATGTAGACCAGGATGGTCTCGATCTCTTGGCCTCGTGATCCACCTGCCTCGGCCTTCCAAAGTGCTGGGATTACAGGCTTGAGCCACAGCGCCCGGCCAGCTGACTACTTTTAAATAAGTCTTCAGTCTGTTGGCCTTTAATCTCTACCGAAGCCCCGAGAAGCCAATGATGCCTTTGTTTTCTGAGAATCATTTCAGTGTACTGGCTGCAGTTTCATGAGGATGGCAAAGGTGAAGAAAGCGGAAAGCCAGTAAAAACTAGATGCTTAGACTTATCGGAAGTTTTAAAGCTGTGAAACACGATGAATTAATGGTGCATAAGTATACTTTTCACTGTGAAAATTGTTTTCACATCTTTCATTAGATGGGTGTAAGAAAAAAACACTTAACATCGTATCTACTAACACCAAAATGAAAAAAAATGCCATTTGCTATTTACGCTTTATTTCTAAAATAAACTTAATAAATTTTGGCAACATACTTTTCTTTGTTCTTCTAATTATTTGTTCTTCACAATCCAGCTTCACCTAAAATTAATAATAATAATGTTTAAGTTAAAAGCCATTATGAGAATAACATATCACTTACAAAATGTGGCCTTTAGTATTTTTACTGACTAGACATAACTTGAAGTTTGCTTAAATAGAAAAATAATCATATAAATAAAGTAAAATTTCTATTTATTTTAAGTTTAGACAATAGAGGATGTATCTGTGTAATGCTGTTTAGATTTATATGACAAAAATACATTTAATATTGGTCTGTTGCATATACATAATTTTAGAAATGTGCTGTTTTATTAGTACAAATATTAAACAAATAAAGCCACATTTTGCATTGAATGCATCGCTTTGAAATTCTTGACAAAGCTCTGCTAAGTTTATAAAAGTTTAATCTATTTTTTACTTCTTTTTTTTTTTTGAGACAGAGTTTCGCTCTTGTTACCCAGGCTGGAGTGCAATGGCGCAATCTTGGCTCACCGCAACCTCCACCTCCTGAGTTCAGGCAATTCTCCTGCCTCAGCCTCCTGAGTAGCTGGGATTACGCACCACCATGCCCAGCTAATTTTTTGTACTTTTAGTAGAGACAGGGTTTCACCGTGTTGAGCAGGATGGCCTCGATCTCTTGACCTCATGATCCACCCGCCTCGGCCTCCCAAAGTGCTGGGATCACAGGCTTGAGCCACTGCGCCTGGCCCTATTTTTTACTTCAATAAATTGTTTCTTAAAAAAAATTTTATTCTCTACTTAAACTTTTTGTATAGTAAATTTTTCTTTTTTTTTTTTCTACGTTGCATTCTAAATTAAGGTGGTACCTGTGAAGGTTTCTTCCAAAGGTATCTTGAGGGATGCCGAGGGTTGAAGTACAATTGAACCCATCACAAACGTAGTGAGGGTAGGACCCAATAAGTAGATTTTAGTCCTGGCCCACTCTGTCCCTCCCCATTCTTATTTCCCTGTGTCTATTGTTCCCATGTTATGACAATGTGAACCCAATGTGTAGCTCCCACATGAGTGAAAACGTGAGATATTTGGTTTGTGTTTCTGCATTAGTTTGCTTAGGATGGTGGATTCCAGCTGTATCCATGTTGCTGCAAAGGACACGATTTTGTTCTTTTTATGGTTGCACTGTATTCCATAGTATATATGCCATTTTCCAATCTACCTTGGATTTTTAATCTATGTTGGATGCACCTGGGTTTACTCCATGTCTTTGCTATTGTGAACAGTGCTGCAATGAACCTGCACGTGCCTGCTTCCTTTTCTTACAATGAATTATTTTCCTTTAGGTATACACCTAGTATAGTAATGGGGTTACTGCATCCAATGGTCATTCTTAGTTCTTTTTTTTTTTTGTCTTTATTCAAATTTAATGGAAACAGGGGTCACTATATTTTGCAAGATAGGGAAAGATAAAATTAAAAAAAATTCTTTTCTTTTCTTTTTTAATATAAAACAATATAATCACAATACCAGACTATGGAACTCGACAGTTTATTTCCTATGGGTTACTGCAGGTATCAATTTTCCTTGGCTGTGCTATTCACAACTTTGTTAAGTCCAAAAATATGAAACCAAAGTGGTCGGAAACTTAAGAGTTAGCACTTTCACTACATGGCACACATCGAAGGGCATCAATTCAAGAGCAAAAATGGTTGAACTCACCATACCTACCTACCTCCAGCCTTAGAGCCGTCCACGTTACTGAGCTCCCTGTAGGAAAGGCCAGGCCTGAAAGTCAAGGCGTTTTGGATATTCTACTGTGGGCCATGAGTAAAAGGGGATTTTTTCAAAAGAGAAATTTTTTTTTTTTTTCAGTGGAGCAGGAAGGCCTGGCGCCAGGAGGCTTTACTGAGAGGAAGCACTCAGATTGAACAATTATAGACACACCATTGGGGAGTTAAAAATGTACAGCAGTGACATGTTCTACTCCAATCACATGTGCTACGGCTACCAAACGTGTACAAAAGACTCCTCGGGTAGTTCCAGCTGTGGTCGTGGCCAGTTAGGACCTTGAGTGGGACCTAGATCTAGACCGGGAGGGTGATCTGGAAGCAGACCCGGATCGAGACTTGGACCGAGATCGGGTTTTTGAAGCTGACTTTGATCTGGAGCGTGATTCTGATGGAAGATTTGGCTTCGATTTGGAATTGGATCTCGACCTGGACCGGGTCTCCTGATTGGTGCCAGCATTCTCACTCTCCCCTCCGCCTTCCCTCTGGCTGGATTCAGACTTGACATGGTCCCGCTCCTTTGAAACAGAGCGGGATGGCGATCTGGACTGCGAGCGGTCAGTGTCTTCCTTTTTCTTCTTCTTGCTGCTGCCCGTCTTGCTGTCTCGCTTGCTGCCTCGCTTTCTGCTCCTCTCTTGCTATGGCTGAGGCTGCGTCTGCGGCTCTCCTCCCTGCTTCTCTTCCTGCCCTTCCTCTTGTCCTGCTCTTGCTGTGGCTCCTACTCCCGCTCATGCCATGCTACCCCCTTTGCTCCTGCTCCGGCTCCGACTCTGGCGGAGGCTCTTCTGGCCCCTGCCCTACTCCTGGCTCCTGCCCCTGCTCAAACTCCCTCGCTTCTCCTCCTCCACTCTCCTCTCCTGACTCCTGCTCCGACTTTTGCTCTTACTTTTATGCCTGCGAGGACTCCGGCTCTTAGGTTTCCCAGCATTGTCATTGTTTTGGATCTTCTCTTCGGGTTGGTCTTTGCTTTTGCTTCGGCTCTTGCCGACGCTGCGACTGCGGCTGCAGCTCTTGTCCTTGCTGGGCTCCTGCTTTTCTCCATCTTGCTCCAGCTCCGACTCTGGCTTCGGCTCCGGCTCTGACTCTGGCTTCGGCTCCGGCTCTTGCTCCGTGAGTGGGAGCCTGCCCTGGACCGGGATCTACTCTTAGAATGGCTGCTTTGCTGCTTTCACTTCGGCTTCTGCTCTTACGGGAATGTCTGCTTCGAGAGCGAGATCTCGAATGGCTCCGGCTCCTGGAGTAGGACCGGTGTCATCTGGAACCTGGCTTGTCTTCAACTAATCGGATTTTTCTGCCATTGACTTCAGTTCCATCCAACTTTTCCAAAGCTCTTTTCACATCAGAATAAGATACAAATTCAATCACTCCTTCCTTTTTGCGTCCCTTCTGAGCATCTGCAGAAGTCACTTCTCCTGCCTGACGCACATAATCCTTTAGGTCTTGCCAGCTGCACCGACTTGACAAATTCTCCACAATAAGCCTGTACTCTGTGCGAGTAGGAGGGCCATATTTATCTCGGCCACTTCTTCTATAACCATATCCACTGCGCCCAGCATCATAACTGCCATCTCGCCGTGGGCCGCGGGCATGCTCCACAATTACTCGCTCACCACAAAGGTCTTTGCCATTCAGTTCATAAACAGCATCATCTGCATCAGGCAGGTCATCAAACTCCACAAAACCATATCGGTTCTTCAGATCCACCTCCAGGATCTTCCCGTAGCCCTTAAAGAAGCGCTCCACATCGTGCTCCCGGGCCTGGCAGCTCGGGCGGCCGATATACACCCGCGGCATCCCGGCAGCGGCGGCGGTGGCTGGCCCCGGCCCCGGCCCTGCTTAGGCGGCGGCGGGCAAAGCGAGAGCGCGGCGGCAGCGGCGGCGGCGGCGGCCCATTCTTAGCTTAATTTCCAAACTGCTCACCATAGTAGCTGGACTAATCTTCATTACCACCAACAGTGTGTAATTGTTCCCTTTTCTCCACAGCCTCCCCAACTCTGTTTTATTATTATTATTGTTGTTGTTGTTTTTATTTTTGACTTTTTAACAAAGTCATTCTGCCTGGTGTGAGATGGTGTTTCACTGATGTTTTGTTTGGCACTTCTCTGATGGTTAGCAATGGTAAGCATTTGCTAATATGTTGTTTCTTGGCCACTTATATGTGTTCTTTTGAAAAGTGTCTGTTATGTCATTTGCCCATTTTTAATGGGGTTATTTATTTTTTGCTTGTTGACTTAAGTCCCTTTTGGATTCTGGGTAATAGGCCTTTGCTGTATGCATAGTTTGTGAATATTTTCTTCCATTCTGTAGGAGTCTGTACATTCCCTTGATAGTTTCTCATGTGTGCAGAAGCTCTTTAGCTTAATTAGGTCACACTTGTCAATTTTTTGTGATTCTTGCAATTGCTTTTGAAGATTTATCCATACATTAATTAAGAAGTGTGATGTCCAGAAGAGTATTACCTAGTTTTCCTCCAGGATTTATTTATTTATTTATTTATTTTTTTGAGACAGAGTCTCACTCTGCTGCCAGGCTCCAGGCTGGAGTGCAGTGGTACAATCTCGGCTCACTGCAACCTCCGCCTCCTGGGTTCAGGCAATTCTCCTGCCTCAGTCTCCTGAGTAGCTGGGATTATAGGCACATGCCACCATGCCCAGCTAATTTTTTTTATTTTTAGTAGAGACGGGGTTTCACATGTTGACCAGGATGGTCTCTATCTCTTGACCTCGTGATCCACCCTCCTCTGCCTCCCAAAGTGCTGGGATTACAGGCGGGAGCCATGCACCCAGCCGGTCTTTGCTATTGTAAACAGGGCTGCAATGAATATACTTGGGCATGTGTCTTTAAAGTAGAATGATTTATAATCCTTTGGGTATATACACAGTAACGAGATTGCTGGGTCAAATGGAATTTCGATTTCTAGGTCCTTGAGGAAGCACCACACTGTCTTCCACAATGGCTGAACTAGTTTACACTCCCACCAACAGTGTAAAAGTGTTCCTATTTCTCCACATTCTTTCCAGTATCTGTTGTCTCCAGATTTTTTAATGATCGCCATTCTAACCAGCATGAGGTAGTATCTCGATGTGGTTTTGATTTGCATTTCTCTAATTATCAGTGAAGATGAGCATTGTTTTTATGTGTTTGTTGGCCTCACATATGTCGTCTTTTGAAAAATGTCTGCCACTTTTGGATGAATGTTTTTTTCTTGTAAATCTGTTTCAGCTCTTTGTAGATTCTTGATATTAGCCCTTTATCAGATGGGTAGACTGCAAAAATTTTTCCCATTCTGTTAATTCCTGGTCCTAATGATTGTTTCTTGCTGTGTGGAAGCTCTGGAGTTTAATTAGATCCCATTTGTCTATTTTGGCTTTTGTTGCCAATGCTTTTGGTGTTTTAGTCATGACGTCCTTGCCTATGCTTATGTCCTGAATGGTTTTGCCTAGGTTTTCTTCTTGGGTTTTTATGGTGTTAGGTCTTATGTTTAGATCTTTAATCTGTCTGGAGTTAATTTTAGTGTAAGATGTCAGGAAGGGGGCCAGTTTCCGCTTTCTGCACATAGCTAGCCAGTTTTACCAACACCATTTATTAAACAGGGAATTCTTTCCCCATTGCTTGTTTTTGTCAGATTTGTCAAAGATCAGATGGTTTTAGATGTGTGGCGTTGCCTCTGAGGCCTCTGTTCCGTTCCATTGGTCTACATCTCTGTTTTGGTAAGAGTAGCATGCTGTTTTGATTACTGTAGACTTGTAGTATAGTTTGAAATCATGTAGTGTGATGCCTCCAGCTTTGCTCTTTTTGCTTAGGATTGTCTTGGCTATGTGGGCTCTCTTTTGGTTCCATATGAAGTTTAAGGTGGTTTTTTCCAGTTCTGTGAAGAAGGCCATTGGGGATCAAGAAGGCTTGATGGGGATAGCATTGAATCTATGAATTACTTTGGGCAATATTGCCATTTTCATGATATTGATGCTTCCTAGCCATGAGCATGGAATGTTTCTCCACCTGTTTGTGTCCTCTCATTTTGTTGAGCGGTGGTTTGTAGTTCTCCTTGAAGAGGTCCTTTACATCCTTTGTTAGTTGTATTCCTAGGTATTTTATTCTCTTTGTAGCAACTGTGAATGGGAGTTTGCTTATGATTTGGCTCTCTGTTAGTCTGTTATTGGTGTATAGAAATGCTTGTGATTTCTGCACATTGATTTTGTATCCTGAGACTATGCTGAAGTTGCTTATCAGTTTCAGGAGATTTTGGGCTGAGACGATGGGGTCTTCTAAATATACAATCATGTCATCTGCAAATAGAGACAATTTGACTTCCTCCTTTCCTAACTGAGTACGCTTTATTTCTTTTTCTTGCCCGATTGCTCTGGCTAGAACTTCCAACACTATATTGAATAGGAGTGGTGAGAGAGGGCATCCTTGTCTAGTGCCAGATTTCAAAGGGAATGCTTCCAGTTTTGGCCCATTCAGTATGATATTGGCTGTAGGTTTGTTGTAAATAGTTTTTATTGTTGTGAGATATGTTCCTCAGTACCTAGTTTATTGAGAGTTTTTAGCATAAAGAGCTGCTGAATTTTGTCAAAGGCCTTCTCTGCATCTATTTAGATAATCGTGTGGTTTTTGTCTTTGGTTCTATTTACGTGGTGGATTATGTTTATAGATTTGTGTATGTTGAACCAGCCTTGCATCCCTGGAATGAAGCCTACTTGATCGTGATGGATAAGCTTTTTGATGTGCTGTTGCAGTTGGTTTGCCAGTATTTTATTGAAGATTTTTGCATCTATCTATGTTCATCATGGATATTGGCCTGAAGTTTTCTTTTTTTGCTGAGTCTTTGCTGGGTTTTGGTATCAGGATGATGTTGGTCTCCTAAAATGATCTGGGAAGGATTCCCTCTTTTGTATTGTTTGGAATAGTTTCAGAAGTGTTTTAATACCAAAGATGTGTGGGAGCATATCTGTTTTAAGCAATTACACTTTAAAATTGTTCTAAAGAAGTAGATGTGTTTCCCAGGTACTAAACAAGCAGTTCAAAGTAGACAGGGAAGAGAAATGGCTATCAGTGTTGTACGGCTCAACAGGCAACACTTGCTGCTTTCTACATTGGCTCTACTTGTAAGACTCTGAAGATTCCACTAGAAATACTTGTATTTAAAGGGTAACTATGTGAGGAAATAATATCTTAATTTGCTTGACTATAAGAACCACTTCACTATAAATAATTATATTAAAACATCATATTATGCCCTTAAATAATGTAGATTAAGAAAACTAAAATGAACCAAAAAAGCTACAATTATTTGTGTTTGTAAACCACAAGTTTCAGGTTTCACCCTTGTACATTTCACCCACTATCTAGAAAAAAAATAGGCATTTGGCACTGAGGAATAATTCAGAGCAGCAACTCCTAGGGGAGAACTAGATGGCTGGGTTGATGAATATAAAGAACTAAAGCATCTCTGAAGGTAATTACTTCTGACACTGATCAAGGCATTTGAAGCGGGCTTGTACTTTCTGCCTTCCACACCCTCCTCAGGCTGAACAAGGTGTTGTTTTTTAACCACTTTGCAAATTATAGTTGTTTTCATTCCTGTGATAACTATTCCCTATTTCACAAAAATGCCTTTCTGTAACGTCTTGAAAATGTTACCCAAATAGTCTGTCTTGAGATACCCTCTAGTGATAATATTAAAGATCATAATCAAACACAGTTCTATGCCTGAGTGTCAGGATGTGCCCAGAGCAGCAGGACCATTTGACACTTTGGGTTTAGGTTGTGATCCACCAAAAAAAAAAAAAAATTAAACTCATTAATATTTCTATCTAGGGAAATCCTGACAAGTAATTTTTTAACAAGTTCACTTTATTAATTATAAAGCTTCAAAAATATGTAGTAAAAAAAACTAATAGATCATGTTAATTACATGAGGCTTTTCAGGGGAAAAAAGCTATAAAAAAAGCAAAAAAAAAAAAAAAAAAGAAAGAAAGAAAATGAGAGACAGAAAGTATCCTTAACTAATATTTTAAAGGTAAGGTTCCTTATTAATACTATTTTTCAAAATTACATTATCAGATTAGCATTCACTTCCTACTCATCTCCTGAAGTCATCTCACTAAAAATTACATGTTCAAAACAACTCGATGAGCTTATTTTATTTTCTATGAGTGTATGTTTTGACTTACTTCATTCATTTTTTTGAAATGGAAGTGTTAGCTTTTAATGTTAATGCAAGGGCTTCCTTATATTCTTCTAATTCGGTTGTAACCTTTTCATAAGCAGTTTCCATTTTGGAGAGTTCACATTTCACGTGGTGGAGTGCGAGTTTCTTCTTATTTAGTGAAGCTGCCTTATCCTTGTTTAACTGCTCTAAATGTTTTTCATATTCTGCTTCTTTCTAAAACAAATAAAAAGTATACACTTTTTAAAACAATTGTAACCTAATTATCATATATTTATTGTCTTCCATTTTGAGTCAGTGGTTCAGAGAACAATTTTAAATCCATTGAAAAAGGCTGAAGGTTAAAATATTTATCAACAATATCAACAAAACTAATAACTGAATTCAGAATTCAGTCTGATTTATAAACATTAAAAATCATTATTATGTTAGTATTAATGTAATCTGGTTATATAAAAAGTAATATAATCCATTTATAATTTTCTTTTTGAGACAAAGTCTAGCTCAGTTGCCAGGCTAAAGTCCAGTGGCATGATCTCAGCTCACTGCAACCTCTGCCTCCTGGGTTGAAGTGATTCTCCTGCCTCAGCTGCCCCAGTAGCTGGGGTTACAAGCATGTGGCTCCACGCTCAGCTAATTTTTGTATTTTTAGTAGAGATGGGGTTTTGCCATGTTGCCCAGGATGGTCTCGATCTACTGACCTCGTGATCCACCGACCTTGGCCTCCCAAAGTTCTGGGATTACAGTTGTGAGCCACATTTATCATTTTTAAAACTGAGCAATGAACAATGTAGCTTAAGACCAATTCAAAAGTATCACATAATTTCCAAATCACAGTTTTATCTTCTGCCAACTAGTCTTAATAATCAAATGACTGTATAGTGAGGGTCATTACTCTGAAAGGTTGATTTTGTTATAATAATAATAAAAATTTAAATATTTAAAAGGGAAAAGAGATGTCATTTTTTTTCTAAAAATCTACAAAGCAGATTGTTATAAGAGATGCAGAGGGGCCGGGCGCGGTGGCTCAAGCCTGTAATCCCAGCACTTTGGGAGGCCGAGGTGGGTGGATCACGAGGTCAACAGATCGAGACCATCCTGGTCAACATGGTGAAACCCCGTCTCTACTAAAAATACGAAAAATTAGCTGGGCACGGTGGCGCGTGCCTGTAATCCCAGCTACTCAGGAGGCTGAGGCAAGAGAATTGCCTGAACCCAGGAGGCGGAGGTTGCGGTGAGCCGAGATCGCGCCATTGCACTCCAGCCTGGGTAACAAGAGCGAAACTCCGTCTCAAAAAAACAAACAAAAAAAAAAAGAGAGATGCAGAGGAAATACAATGTATACATACCCAAAATATAATTTGCAGTGAAAGGAATGAAAGCATATTACAGATAAACTTACCTGATTTTAAAAACTAACCTGTAAATGGGTTTCTTCTAATTTTTCTAATGCCTGCTTTGCCATTTCTTCTAGCACTGATTTATATTCTTGTACTGTATCAAATTCTATCATATTGTTTTCCATATGTGTGTTAAGATTTGATATTTCTTCTTCTAACATCTTTTTATCCTCCTCAAGTTTTTCACATTCCTGTTGCACTTTTTTCATAGATAATAACTCCTGCTGAATAACCTGATTGTCTTCAGCCAAACTGGCATGTTTTGAAGATAGAACTTCCTTCTCTGCTATAAGATCATCCAACTGCATGAATAAAATAATACAGCTTGATAATGAAGTCGGCTGAGAATAATACAGAACCAACAGCAAATTTTGAAATGCGTTTACTTAAAATAAAATACTATCTATAATGTAGTAGATTCTTCAAATATGAACCCCTAAATTACTCAGCATTTCAAGAACAAAATCAAGGCCACAAAGTTAAGTCACAGAATTATATTCCTTGCTATTATCATCTCTGCCACAGAACTTTCCCACTTGATCTTACTTTCACTTTTCTGAGAGTTTATTTTGTTCCTTTTTAAATGGCACTAAGTTATGTTGATAAAAAGTGTCTCACCCCCTTCTCTCATTATCATTTCCCATAATTTGTCAAAAAGGTTTCAGAAATATAATATTGAGTTATTTAGGTCAAAGTTAATAAATTGCTTCAAAAGAGAAGCTATTTTCATCCCTTTAAAAAACAGAATATTGGTCAACCTTACTGACTCCCTTCTCATGAATAGAATGCTGTAAAAGGGATACCATGTGGCTTCTCTATCTCAGACTACTTTTCCTTTGAACTGAACCCCCAGATTGTGAGAAAACTCAGGCCACAAAGAGAGCGTGGGAGTGCCAGTGTTCATGCTGCCTGCCCCAACCAAGGTTCCAGTCAATGGCCAGCATCAATCATTGTTCCAGCCAATGGCCAGCATCAATCATTGTTCCAGCCAATTGCCAACATCAACCACGTGGGTGAGCCAAGCTTCAGAGGCTTCCATTTCCCCAACTGATCAGCTGTTCCTGGGGAAGCTGAGGGAAGCAGAAACAAGCTTTCCTGGTCAAGCTTTTTCCAAACCACAGATTCATGAACAAAATTAACTTTTTTTTCTTTTAAGCCACAAAACTGTGGGTAATTGATAGAAAAATAAGTTTTAAAAAGGGACAACAGAAAACATAACCTATGCAGCAGAAAAGAGTGCCCTTTTAAGTAGGATCTAGTAAATGTTGAGATTGATTTACTGATGACAATCATTGAGAAGCAGCAGATAACCAGGAGAGAGACATAAGCTGGTGAGGAGGAACTTTTCCTGAAACCCCCTTCAATTATAAGCTCTGATAACAAGGCAAGGGTGTCTCTTTAGAATTTTCCCTCAAGTTAGGAAATAAACTAGGGAGCAAGAAGACATGAAATTTAAAAAACAACTAGAAATATTTGGTCACATGACTAAAATAAGACCTTTACCTGATTTCTATTAAATAAAATTCTAAAGAAGAAGCTTTAAGTATTTATTCATCAATCTAGTATTTCATTTTCATTTTCTTTTTCTCAACCAGGAAATAAGGGGAACATTATGGAATTATTTTTAATCTTCGCAGAAGTAAAATAAACATAGCGCGCTTTGAGTGTTAAGAAAGCCAATGCAACGTTTCCTTTACCTTACTTCAAGCTTGTTTGTGTGGACCAGTGAAGACCATCCCATCACTATGTTATACCACAATGCTTCTCTATAGCACACACTTTGGCTCTGAAAATTTGAAATTCAAAATATTCATCTACTATTCGTCTCTGATAAATTGCCTAAGCATTACCTGATTATTAAGTGCTGCACTCCTAAAAGTTTTCCTTGAAATGAGTTAATTTTTTTTTATTCTAAGAATTCTCTACTGAGCTAGAAAGCAGAGCTTTGCATCTCTGTTTCTTTTCTTTTCTTTTTTTTCCTTTCTAGAGGCTAGAAGTCCAAGATGGGGGAGTATGAGGGAGACAGAGGGAGGCAGAGTAGCGAGACGAAGCCCTCTGGTGTCTCTTCTTCTTCTTCTTTTTTTTTTTTTGAGGGAAAAAGAGAAAAAGAAGGGGAAAAAAAGAAAAAGAGGGAAAAAGAAATATTACTTCATTCCTAAAATGGGTTTCAATAATGGCCGATCAATATTTTGAGTGTTTAAAGTGGTTAATGCATATTTTATGTGTTTAAAATGGAGACCTCTATTGTGTTTATTTGTTCTGGCTCTGAGTTCAAGTCCTGGATATCGTTATCAATTTCTTGTCTTGTTGAATCTAAATCTCATTATGTGTCTTATGTATCTGGGTGTTAAGATCTCTTATTGTTGCATTAATCCTTTTACCCTTGCATCCTTGTAGCTTTGAAATCTATTTTATTAAGTGTGAGAATTGCAACTCCTGCTTTTTATTTATTTATTTTTGCTCTCCATTTGGTTGGTGAGTTTTTTTCCATCCCCTTGTTTTGAGTCTTTTTATATCTTTAGATATATCGTTAGATTTTGTGGATAATGTATATTTTGTGTGTTTAAAATGGAGAGCTCTATTGAGTTTATTTGTTCTGGATCTTAGTTCCAGTCCCAGATATCGTTATCAGATAATGGAACACAGTCCTTTTCCATCAGGGCTTGTTCCGTTACTGATGAGTCCTTTTCCATCAGGGCTTGTTCCGTTGCTGTTGAGTCCTCTTCCATCAGGGCTTGTTCTGTTGCTGATGGGTTCTGATTTTGAGTATACTCGGCCTTCTTAGGCTGTTTTTTTCCCTTCATTGTAGATGAACCGTCTTTCTAATTAGGTTTCTGAGTCGACTTCCGACTTATTGATTCCCAGTGCTGGGATCGGAGCAACCCACTGTGGCAGCCTAAATAGCAGCGATAAAACTGATGGTGCTCTTCTGCCCGGGAATCTCTGGTCTGGCTTCCCTCTTGAGTCCGCAACAAGCGGCTCTGACTTCCCGGAGCTCCAAACTCCGGTCAGTAGGGGAAGCGGTCCCGTTGGCTCTGCATGAAGAGCTGCTGCGCTGAGATGCCGGCAAAACTGCTCCGGCGGCCACAAGAGTCGCGCTGGCGACCCGTGGGATTCCTCCACTGGGAATCGTCTAATCGGTGAGTGACGAAAATTCGTCTCAAAGTGTGGCATCGTCTCATTCTCTGAGCTTTCACTGGGAGCTACAATCCTGAGCTGTTAGTGGTCGGCCATCTTGGATCGATCTCCCAAAGTCCACTAATGTTTGAATGGAGAAAAAAAGGAATAAGGCCAGGCGCGGTGTCCCATGCCTGTAATCCCAGCACTTTGGGAGGCCAAGGTGGGTGGATCACGAGGTCAGGAGATCGAGACTATCCTGGTCAACATGGTGAAACCCCGTCTCTACTAAAAATAGAAAAATTAGCTGGGCGTGGTGGTGCACGCCTGTAGTCCCAGCTACTTGGGAGGCTGAGGCAGGAGAATTGCTTGAACCTGGGAGGCAGAGGTTGCAGTGAGCCTGGCACCTGGCGACAGAGTGAGATTCTGTCTCGAAACAAACAAACAAACAAACACCAGAAATAAACTCTGTCTTGTAAGCCTGACTTCCCATAATTTCTTAGAGTAAGTAAGGTATAAGCTGGCTACAGAATCCTTTGAGATACAAAAGGTGAACTTAAAGATATCTCGCTACATTTGACTTTTATCCTCACATAAGATAACTTGGTAATATGCAATCTGATTGAAAAATCTTCTCATTAAATTTGATTTGGGCCGGGCATGGTGGCTCAAGCCTGTAATCCCAGCACTTCTGGAGGCCAAGGTGGGTGGATCACAAGATCAACAGATTGAGACCATCCTGGTCAACATGGTGAAACCCCGTCTCTACTCAAAATACAAAAAATTAGCTGGGCATGGTGGTGGGTGCCTGTAATTCCAGCTACTCAGGAGGCTGAGGCAGGAGAATTGCATGAACCCAGGAAATGGAGGTTGCGGTGAGCCGAGATCGCGCCATTGCACTCCAGCCTGGGTAACAAGAGCAAAACTCCGTCTCAAAAAAAAAAAAAAAAATTTTCATTTGGTCCCAGCATAAGAATACACATAAGGAAACAAAAAATTGATAATCTAATAATAAACCTGCACATTTACAGTCAATTGATTTTATACAAGGCTAACAAAAGGACAAAATGGGAAAAGAACAGTCTTTTTGGCAAATGGTGCTGGGACAACTGAGTATTCCCATGCAGAAAAATAAATGAAGTTGGACTCTCACCAAATATCATGTTTAAAAACTGACTCAAAATAAATCAGTTAACTGTAACAGCTAAAACTATAAAACTGTCAGAATAAAACGTCAACATAAGTCTTTGTGACTGCATTAGGCAGTGTTCTCATAGCTATGACTTCCAAGAAAAAGTGGATTCAGTGGACTTCAAAACTGAAAACTGCTGTGCCTCAGAAGACACTATCAACAAGTGAAAAGGCAAGCCACTGAGTGGAAGAAAATATCTGAAAATCACGTATCTGATAAGGGACTTACATATATAGGATATATAAAGAACAAGATAACCCAATTTAAAAAATGGGCAAAGATTTCGAATAGATATTTCTGCAAAGAAAATATAAAGATGGATTATAAGCACATTACTAGATGCTTAATGTAATTAGTCATCAGGAAAATGTAAATCAAAACCACCATGTGTTATCACTTCACGCCATAGGATGAAATCTTTGTTCAATAAAAAAGAGAAAATGTGTGTCAGCAAAAATGGAAAGAAATTAACACTTTTATACAATGCTGCTGGGAGTGTAAAGTGGTAGATGTACTTTGAAAAACAAACTGGCAGCTCCTCAAAAGGTGATGCATGAAGTGACCATATGATCCAGAAATTCCAGCTGTAAGTATCCACTCAAGAAAAACGAAAACATATGCAAGCACAAAAACGCATACATAAATGTTTACAGCAGCGTTATTAATAAGAGTCAAAAAAGGGGAAAGAATCCAAAGGTCCATCACCTTTGCGTGGGAAAGAACCCAAAAGTCCATTCACCAGATGAATGGGCAAATAACATGTTAGATGTCTCCATACAATGGAATATTATTCAGCAATAAGAAGAAATTAAGTACAGATACTGAAAGAAGCAGGAGACAGCAAAATGCTTAGGCAGATATGGAAGGGTCTCTGGAGAACCTCCAACCAGCCCCTCAAGTGTTTACACCAGAGATTTCCTGCAGACAAGAGAAGAACCTGCACAGGGTCTTGCCTGGACATGCCGGTAGCAGACTGGAGGCCCACATGCACTGGGGAAATGTGGTGGAGCCACCAGGAATTCACACCTTATGCAGGGGAGCCTGGCCTCTTCAGCTCATATGTGGTGGTCCTGATATTCAATTGTGAGGTGAAAATCTGTTTGCAGGACCCCTTTCTTGGCTGAGAGCTTTCCTTTCACTTAATAAATTCCGTCCTCCCCATGCTTCAATGTGTCTGCATGCCTAATTTTTCCTGGTCATGAGACAAGAGCCCAGATTTAGCTGAACCAAAGAGCAAAAACCCTGCATCAATATCTGTTACAACATAGATGCAGCATGGAAACTGTTCGGTAGAAAGTCCCGCCATCTTTCCCCCAGGTTTCTTGCCCCCACCCTCCCCCCAGGCTTCCTGCTGCCCTGAGAAAAGCCCGCCAAGCCTGCTCTGTTCTGCCCAGCAACAACAAGCAGCCAATCATCGCAGCAGGAAAGCCCGCCAAGCCTCGGCCTATCCTGAACCGACATGTAACCCTCTGAGCCACCTCAGCAGTCTGCCCAGAGACGGACAGCCTATCCTAAGCTCCTACGACACTCCGCCAGCCCTGTGTCCATGCCCCGTCCACCCCACTATAAAACCCTCCTACCCCAGCTGCGCAGTCGCAGCCAGCCCCCGATCGCCTTCCTTCCCTGGCCTGCCCGCTGGTCCCAATAAACCTGAACTCGGCTCCCAACTCTCGAGCTGTTATTTGGGGTCGGGTACCGGGCAGGGGTCTACAAGGGGGTCGCACAGAAACTTTTGCTAAATAAAATAAGTCAGTCACAGTAGACTAATTGATTTTTATTTCAGAGGCTTATAGGCAAATCTATATAAAGAAAGTGGTGGTTCCCTCGGGCTGAGGGAGGAAGGCTAGTGAAGATGGCTAAATGATGTGGGGTTTACTTTTAGGGTGATGAAAAGATTTACTCTTGATTTAGGTTCTAAAATGAATTGTAATTATTATTGCATAACTCTCTGAACATACTAAAAGTCAACAAATTGTGTATTTCAAATGAGTCAATTGCATGGCCTGTTAATTATTTCTCAATAAATCTGTTACCTATCCCCCCCAAATTTATTTGGTACTAGTGATCTGGAGACATGTACTGCTTGGTTTCAGATCACTGGTCAAGGCTCAAGACATAAGAGAATAGACAGCATGTCCTTTTAATAGACAAAATTATGTATTTTTAAAACTGTCTTTTTCATTAATATCAAGTCTGTAATAAAATTAAATGAAAATTCAAAAAAATCTTTTACTGCTTAAAGCACTGAGAGATTTATAACAAGGAATAAGACCTTGTTTTCTTTTGCCGCAATTTCTATCTAAAGCGTCTGGGGAATCATACCCTTCAAACTGTAAAATCTCATCCGATGGGTTTTATTAACTCTTATAACGTGGTTTACGTTCTTTTTTTTTTTTTTTTTGAGACGGAGTTTCGCTCGTTACCCAGGCAGGAGTGCAATGGCGCGATCTCGGCTCACTGCAACCTCCGCCTCCTGGGTTCAGGCAATTCTCCTGCCTCAACCTCCTGAGTAGCTGGGATTACAGGCATGCGCCACCGTGCCCAGCTAATTTTTTGTATCTTTAGTAGAGACGGGGTTTCACCATGTTGACCAGGATGGTCTCGATCTCTTGACCTCGTGATCCACCCGCCTCAGCCTCCCAAAGTGCTGGGATTACAGGCTTGAGCCACCGCGCCCGGCAACGTGGTTTACTTTCTAACCTGATTCTGGTACAGCATCACAGACAGCAGAAGCTGAAGGAAATAAAAATATTTTACCCCAAAATAGATTTTTTTGACATATTTTGAAATGGCTGCCGCAGAGCCAGGACCAAGAAATTGAAATGGCCCCATGAAGCTGTCTTCTGTGGGGAAAACGGCATCTGTGAAAAGTCTTCATTAATGTAGCCCAATCTCTCCCGCTCTGGATCTTCCCAGATCTACGGAAGATTAACTAAGGGCCTAATGCATTTCAAGTCTGAAAAGATCCGTTTACCCTCTGTTTTCTCTGAAGACTGCCAGCTATGAGGGTTTATCTACATAATAAAAACCTTGGCCTCCATAACCACCTTATCTTAATTAAGGCTTTCCTTTCTACTGTTTTCAAGTTTTAGACAACAACTTAACTTTCTTTACCAATTGTCACCTAAAAAATCTCTAAAACCCACCTTTGGCTTGTTAGCCACTTCTTTTTGATGTCCCACTTTCAAGCTGAACCAAATATGCCTTCCTCATATTGATTTATTATTTTTCCCTACAATTAATTTCTGTCTGCTGGAAATGTACAGAGTCAAACTGTAAGGTGACTGTCTCATAAAATATCCTCAGGATCTCTCGAGATTGTGTAACCTAGAGCCACAGTCACCAGATTGGCTCAGAATAAACCTCCTTAAACATATTTTGGCAGAATTTGGATTTTTAAAATTATTAATATTTCCCCAAATTATGTGATTTTTAATCCCAAACTGATTTAAAATTACCTTATGCTGAAATCTAAGTTATTCTATTATAAAGATACATGCATGTGTATTTCACTGCAGCACTATTCATAACAGCGAAGACACGGAATCAACCCCGATGTCCATCAGTGATAGGTGCGATAAAGAAAATGTGGGATCCATACACCATGGAATACTGTGGAACCATAAACATGAATGAGATCATGCTCTTTGCAGGGACAGGGATGAAATCAAAGCTGCTATCCTCAGCAAACTAATGCAGGAACAAAAAAACAAACACTGCATGTTCTCACTTATAAGGGAGCTGAATGATGAGAACACATGGACTCGGGGAGGGGAAGAAAAAATACCAGGGGCCGTTGGGGTTGGGAGGGAGAGGATCAAGATCAATAGCTAATGCATGTGTGGCTTTGTATCTAGGTGATGGATTGAGAGGTGCAGCAAACCCTCATGGCACACATTTGTAACAAACACCTATGTAACAAACCTGCACATCTTGCACATGTAACTTAGACCTTAAGATAAAATAAAAGTTTTTTTTTAAATTACCTTATGTTTTAGCTTATTAAGCAGAATATCCATTTTCAATTGATCTGTTTTTAAGTCTCCATGGAAACTTAACTCTTCGTTTCCAAATACATTTAACATATTTATTGTCATCTCTAGGAGTTTCTTATATCTGCAGAAATGTACAGAATTAGCAAGTCAAGTATTTTAAGAGTAAATATGTAATAATAGTTTAAACAGATATTACGGCATATCAAAGAAACACATCTATAAACTATGCTCCTCTCAGTTTCAACTGAGCATAGTTTGAAAGCATTCTATATGAAATTATAATCTTAGATTAATAATATGAAGAACAATTTTATGGCATATAAGGCAGGCAAATTGCTAATATAACCACATAGTTGTTTTTATTTTATTTTATTTTTTTTTTTTTGAGATGGAATTTCACTCTTGTTGCCAGGCTGTAGTGCAATGGTGCGATCTTGGCTCACTGCCACCTGTGCTTCCTGGGTTCAAGTGATTCTCCTACCTCCGCCTCCCAAGTAGCTGGGATTACAGGCATCCACCACCACACCCAGCTAATTTTGCAATTTTAAGTAGAGACGGGGTTTCATCATGTTGGTCAGACTGGTCTTGAACTCCTGACCTCAAATGATCCAACTGCCTTAGCCTCCCAAAGTGCGGGGATTACAGGCATGAGCCATCATGCCTGGCCTAACCATACAGTTTTTATAAACTGTTCATATTAATTTTGGTATGCTAACATGAAAAAACCCATTACTAAATATAAGCCATACCCCAGAGATGAGTAACCAATATAAAAAAGTAAAACACTTATGTGTTTCAAAAAGACACAAAAATACATTTTGATACCTGTTGACCACAGTCTATAAAAAGAAAAAAAAGTACACACAAAAAGCATCAAGGCGATCATCGAATCCAGTTGTAGGAAATGTAAGAAAACATCTTTACTATCTGAGCTGATGAGAAAAAGAAAACCGGCAGTTTTAGAAAAATAATGATTTAAAGACTTTGAAGAAGAGAACTAGAGATCTTTGCTGACAGGTCGTCAGTGAAATGAAAGGGATACAAACCATGCAGAGAAAGGCAGTGACAGGAAAACATGGATCAGAATCAGAAAACCAACACAGGTGCTCAGCAGGTAAATGGAAAAGTAGCTGCGTTCAGGACTTCAAGGACACATTCTGTTTTGTTTTTTTAATCTATGATCAAACATGAATGGCCATTTTACTCCTTTTCTTTAAGTTATAGATACATTTACGTACATATAATTTATTTCTGTGAAACAGAAGTTCAATAACATATGCTTCATGTATACAATGGAGGTACTCATGTAAAATGAGTAAATTTCTATCATATATTTTATATCTAAAAGAAAAAAAGCAGAAATGAAATATGAGCTACATATCAAGATGAATTTTGATGCTAAAGAATGCCACCAACGCATGGACACAGAAAGGGGAGCATCACACACTGGGGTCTGTTTGTGGGGGGCTAGGGGATGGACAGTGGGGAATGGGGAGGTTGGGGAGGGATAACATGGGGAGAAATGCCGGATATAGGTGACGGGGGAACGGAGGCAGCAACCACCTTGCCACGTATGCACCTATACCACAATCATACACGACTTGCGCATGTAGCCCAGAACCTGAGTAGAAAGAAAAGAATGCCATGAACAGGTCTTCTTTAAAGAAGAGGAATGCAGCAGAGAAGGATACAACAAAAGGAGGAAAAGAGGACCAAAGACAGCAGAAATATCTTCAGAAATAAAAATTCGTACTGGATAATGAAGAGTGCAGCTGCCATTATGTGTCCAAGGCTTTGTGGTTATTGTTTTCAAAATCATTAAAGAATAAGTGTAATATTTTGACATTAAGAAAATTTAAGACTGTGTTGTCAGTTTCTTTTTTTCACATATTTTTAATATAATGTTTTTCATCCCAACCTTGCTCCAGCAGCTCAGCTGGCTCCCTCCCCCATGACGCACATACCTATGATGTTGTGAGTTTCTAAAATAAATTTTAAAATAGAATTTAATTATGAAAATACAGACATAAAATGCATTTCTATCTATGTTTTAGTCAAGTAAAATTTTAGTTAAATCATTAATAAATGGTTAAAATGTTCTACAATAGGAAAAGCATACCCAGTTCTCTCTTCTTCTAATTCATTATTTTTCTTTGTTGTTTGATTCACATTATACTCCAGTGATGATATTAACTCAAAAACTTTTCTTAATTCTTCATTTAGTCTTTCAGGCTTAAAAAAAAGGTGTTTAAAATTATTTTTGTAAACTCTAGAGACACTCTTCTATCTCAAAAATACTGTTTCTCATAAGTTGATGAGTAATATGTAATTAGGCAGGTGGATAAAGTGCATTTTATAAACCTGATGCAAATAAGGGCAGATTTCAATAACAGTCACTCTTCTTAAAACAGCTAAAAACGATTAATACTTTCATCAGGATCTTTTCTGAAATTTAAAGTGCCCAAAATGTTAAAAAATAAAGATTTTACACATAAAATACTAAGGGTTAGTAAAAAAAAATTAAAAGTAACTATATTTACATTTTAGTTGTTAAAGATGTTCTAGAAACATTGTCATTAATAGTTTACGATAGTCCAGTTTTGTTAAACTACATCTTACTAAGATTATTTATAGAAAACTCTTATCTACTTCCCATTATCTTTTTGATCCTCATCTGTCTTCAGGCTGAGCTAAACACTCATTCTCTGTAAGTATTTACCTGTGGGTTTCAGTTTTTCCTTCTCTTAACCATTTCTATTTAAATAAGGTTTATTTTTTTCTATAATAAACAAAAACCTAACTTTTGTCTACTTTTCGTGGTTTTCTATTACCCTGTTTCTCCCCTTCCATTGGACTCTTTGACACATGATCTCATCCAGAGATCTATTTCTCCTCACTTATTGTGGTTTTTTATACTGAAATCTGATTTGTAATAATTCCAATGAAGAAGTCCCAGGGTCATGAAAGTCTTTATCCTGCTTTCCTCAGCAGCAACTGCGAGCAGTGACCAAATGCACCCTCTGCTCCTCTGACCCCACTTCATTTCTAAATGCAGCAACTTCTGATGTTTACTGCTATCCCTTTGTATTCCATTTTAAAATTCTCTCGGGACTCCTAAAATCTCAAAACTTTGACCCAGATTCCCTAATCTACATTTCCAGCTCTGACCTTTTTAGTGAGGTCTCTTCATTCGAGCACACATGTTATCGACAATATTCTCAACCACACACTCTTACATTGCTAGTTGGTGCAGATTACTTTTGTAGATAGTGAATCTTGTCTATTTTATGTTGATTCTTATTGATGCTATTTTGAGCATAGTTTTTTTTTTTTTTTTTTTTTTTAATCTAGAAGAGGGACAGTCTCACTCTAGGTATATTGACCAGTATACTTTGTCCTTTTTCCTTCTTTTTTGGACTAGTATACTTTGTTCTTTTTTTCTTTCTTTTTGAGATGGAGTCACACTCAGTCATCTAGGCTAGAGTGCAGTAGCACCATCTCGGCTCACTGCAACTTCCACCTCCTGGGTTCAAGTGATTCTCCTGCCTCAGCCTCCCAAGTAGCTGGGACTACAGGTGCATACCACCATGCCTAGCTAAATTTTGTATTTTTAGTAGAGACAGGGTTTCACCATGTTGGCCAGGCTGTTCTTGAACTCCTAACCTCAGGTAATTCACCCACCTCAGCCTTCCAAAGTGTTGGGATTACAGGCATGAGCCACTGTGCCCAGCCCTTTTTCTTTTTTTCTTTTCTTTTTTTTTTTTTGAGATGGAGTTTTACTCTTGTTACCCAGGCTGGAGTGCAATGGCACGATCTCGACTCACTGTAACCTCCACCTCCTGGGTTCAGGCAATTCTCCAGTCTCCTGAGTAGCTGGGATTACAGGCATGCGCCACCACGCCCAGCTAATTTTTTGTATTTTTAGTAGAGACGGGGTTTCACCATGTTGACCAGGATGGTCTCGATCTCTGGACCTCGTGATCCACCCGCATCGGCCTCCCAAAGTGCTGGGATTACAGGCTTGAGCCACCGTACCCTGCCCCCTTTTTCTCTTTTATACTAAAAACTTTTTCATGAGAATTAGATTATCAATTATTTGCCCTTGTTTTCTTTGAAGAATTCCCTTTTCCTTAAATACACGGCATGATGAATCTCTTCTATGGTTTCTTTCAGGGGGACACTCAACTATATTACTGAAAAGCTCCAGTCAAGTAGAGGTCTTCCTTCTTCCCAACTGAGATTTTTTAAACTCAAAATGGTGTCCACCAAATGTCTTAATCTAGGTAGCTTCTTGCTTAAAAATTCATGAAATAAGAACCTTCTGGAGCAGTTAGAGGCTATTGATTGATAGGGTTTAAAGCCTTCCCTTATTACATGTTTTATTTCCAAGAAAGACATCAAAGTGGCTAATAATTCTATGCCTGATGTCTAACTCACTTCTATGAAAATCTATATACAAAACATTCCATTTATGACACAGAGTCTCACTCTGTTACCCTGGCTGGAGTGCAATGGCTTGATCACTGCTCACTGCAGCCTCGATATCCTGAGCTCAAGTGACCCTCCTACCACAGGCTCCCAGTGTAGCTGGGACTGCAGGTATACACCACCATGCCTCAGCTAACTGCTTTTTGTTTTTTGTTTTTTTTGTAGAGACAGGGTCTCACTTATATTGTTCTGGCTGGTCTCAAATTCCTGGGCTCAAACGCTGCTGCTGCTTCAGCATCCCAAAGTGCTAGGGTTACTGGCATGAGCCACCCAATCAGGTGTTTCATGGTTTGAAAGGCAGTATCTACACTGAAGCCAGAAGGCCTGTGTCTAAATCCCAGTTCTACCAGATACAGGCTGTTTGACCTTGAAATGGAGAAAATAATATCATCTACGTCGCTGCGATGTTGGGAAGATGAAACCAGGGACCAACATGAAGCATTTAGAAGCGTACTCGGTGCATATTGAGCTACAGATAAAATCTGCTATTAGCATAATCATTTTTACTGTTTTTTGTATCTTTAAAGCTATTTGTGTTAGGCAGGTGGCATTAAAATGGAAGTGGCCTCCTGTAGCTGCACTGAATCATTCTTCACACAACTGAAAGCGGCAGCAAATGGGGACTGTATAATTTATGGGTCACTTTTCTCTCTATGACTCAGTGGGCAACAACCACATAGGTACTGCAATGTCAATAGCACCTCCTGGATTGAGTAGTACGTAATCAGCATGACCAGCGAAGACAGGCTGAAGCCACTGGCTGAAAACCTTGAACTCTGTTGCTAAATCAAGTCTCCTCCATCAGTTCCCCTCCAGCAGCTGTGGCTGTTGTGCTGCTTTCATGAGCACTCTGCTGAGCACTCGGATGAAGAGGCTGTGGGACCATTCAGCAGACAGACTGCCAGAACTGTTCGGCTGACAAACTGGCAGCCATCCAGAAATACAGTTCTGGCTACACAGTGAAGGAAGGCAAATTTAGATTCGTTTTTCATACTGAGAAAAACATGAGCATTTGATTGAACAATTCTCCTCTATTAGGCTAACTGGTTTCAATTTTATGTTGCTAAAAATACACGTAGAATAAAAGATTTACTGGTCAATGTCTCAAAGAAGAAATAACTGGTATGGTAAAAAGTATTTGGTTCTATGCTAAAAGCTGCCAAGCTAAAACATTTTCAATTTATACAACAATAGGTGACATGCATGTCATATTCTTTTCCCTTTAAGCAAATTTATAGTAAGACAAAATTATATTCCATAAAAAAATAAAAGCCATAGAAAATTAGGGCCTAAGTTGTTCTGTAGACTGGACTACAAGTGCTGAGATGTAAGGTCAATGAGAACAGAGAAAGCTTCACAAAGGGGACATGGTCTGCCAGGTCCGAATGAATGAGACTAGAGGAGCAGAAACTGAGACGGCAGGAAGGACAGTACGAGTCAAACTGGTGCTGAGATCTACCCAGTTAACTCTGAGAATAAAGTCCAATGGCAGGGAAAAAAACATATATCCACATAATAAACTGTAAATGAATGTCCACAGCAGCTGTTTCTATAATAGCCAAAAAGTGAAAACAAACTAAAGGTCCATCATCTGATGAATAAATGGAAAACTGGTATAGCCATGAAATAGACTATTGTTTGACAGTAAGAAGAAATAAACTACGGATATGTGCTACAACATGGATAAAATTCTGAGAACATTATGCTAAGGAAAAAAAGCCAGTCAGAAAGGACTTCATATTGTATGATTCTTTGTATATAAAATATGCAGAACATGCAAATCTATGGAGACAAAAGTAGATGGTGGTTGCCTACAACTGGGGCAGGTAGAGAGACACGGAGAGGAGTTGCAGTCATGGCTGTGAGATATACGGTTGCTTTTCAGAGTGGTAAAAAGGTTCTAGCATTGACTGTGGTGATGGTTACACAATGCCCGTGTCTTATCCAAATTAATGTGACAAAGTGATGTACCTTCTAGTGAAGACTCTGACATAGGTCATTTTTTAAGCTTCTCAGCCAGTTCTTCTAAAAGTTGTCTCATAATCATCTGATAAAATAATTTTGTTACTATTTTATAAATAGCCTTAGTATTAAATTGTTAATAATATTTACCTCTAACATAAATAGTTTGAAAATTGTTACCAGACACATAGACTCCCTTCCTTTTCCTCGTATGCGCACATTCTTGTTTGTTACTGAGTTCACTGAGGGACACAGAACCGGTATTCTACCTACATGACAGATTGATTCAGCCCACTATTCATCTCAGACCCTTAATTCAACCTGCGTGTCTCACATACTCAGTTGCCTGTTCAAATCCTTCCAACAGATGCCTACCTCGAAATAACAGTACAATTCCAATGGTCTTCAAGACCCTACGTAACATGGCCTCTCCATCCCTCCCTGACCTCAGCTCCTACAATTCTGCCCCATACTCACTTCGTTCCCACTCTGCATCAACTCTGCCACCTCTCATCAATCTAAAAATGAGGATCCGATGTCAAACTTGTAAATCACAGAAAGCTACAAGTATCTTTGTACTGAACAAAATTATATACAAATGATAGTCACTGACAATTAAAATGTAAATTATGAGCTAATTATTAATAAAATATTCAAAGTAAATTATAAATACCTACCAGGGGAACATTAAATCAAATATGTTTTGCTGAAATTTACCACATTTATTCCAACTTGTGATTTTATAACAAGCAGATGTCTTTAAAACATTAAGTGCTCAGAAAATGACGTCATATGAGTGACATATTTTCAGACTTAAGTCACACTGACATGAATGAAAACAAAGTTATACCAACTAAAATACATAAAAGAGTTACTGAGGGAAAAGCATCACAAGACGCAGCAACACACTTCAATTCATCTGAGAAATTTAGAATTAAGTGTCAAAGCAACTCACTTCATTTCAAAATACTCATTTCAGGTACAAGCATTTCCATGTATTTGCTTCATTATGGTTTAAAATGTGCCAACATAAAGACATTAAATTTATTATCAGCAGTTAAGACTACATACCTTATCAACATTACTCTGTATCTACTAAGATTTTATAGGTGACATAATGTTTTGTTTTGTTTTGTTTTTTTAACAAAATCTCACTTTGTCACCAGGTTGGGGTGCAGAGGCACGATCTTGGCTCACTGCAACCTCTTCCTCCTGGAGTCCAGCGATTCTCTTGCCTCAGCCTCCCAAGTAGCGGGAACTATAAGTGTCCACCACCCGCCTCGACCACCAAAAGTGCTGGGATTCTAGCCATGAGCCACCGCACCAGGCCGACGTAATGTCTTTACTCAAAGTAAAGCATCTGTGAGTGCTACCTTTTATTTTTTGAAAATAAGGTATGTTTCCAAGCTGATACAATAAAAACATTGTTTTTTGATTTTTTTACTGAAGCAGTTTTGCATATATATGATTTACATACTGTAAAATTTATGTTTTCACATATAGTTGAAGATTTTTAACACATTTATTCCACAACATGGAATATTTAACTCTCAGTAGTTAATGATATTTAAATATAATTACACGTTTAACTCTAACATACATGTTTAACTCTAACACATGCACTTGAACAAATTCACTGACTTGTAGCCATCTCTACAATCCAACTTTTGAACATTTTCATCACTCCAGGACAATCCCTCATGCCCATTAGAGGTCACTACCCATTTCCAGCTCCAGCCCTACAAAAACATTAATCTACTTTCTGTCCCTATACATGTATTTTCTAGATGTTTCATGTAAATAGAATTATGCAGTATGATAAGTACATTTTTATCTATTTATTTTTATATTGAACTAGGTTCAACATATAGCCAGAATGAAATGTTTAAATTTTTTTTCCAGAGGACTAAAAATATTTATCTTTCTTCATACTTACTTTTTCTGCTTCTTCTTTTTCATACTGAAACAGTTTTTCTTTTAAATAATTACGTTCATTCATTAATTCCTTATTTTTCTCTTCTAGAAAAGCTTCCCGTCCACTCTCAAGACAGTCTCTTTCGACATTAATTACTATCTCTTTATTATTGCCTTCCTTACGAGCAACCTCTAGATGTTGTATAAGCAAGAGATTTTTGCGTTCTAGTTGACATATTCTCTCCTCACTGTTCTGCTTTACCATGAATTGCTTCTTTTTAGCTTCCTCATTTAGACGTATCTGTTTCATTTCCTTTATTCGACGCTGTGCTTGCCTTCGGTCCATCTCTACACTTTCTAAAGCCGATGTTTTTTCCCTGAGAGCATCTCTTGTCTTGTGGAGCATACCTTTTAAGGTATTAAACTTCCTTCGAGCTTTAGAAAGTAGTACAGTAAGCAACTTATTCTTATCTTCTAGTTGAGAAATATTAGAACGTATTACTTCTTGCACATGAACATCTTTTGCTCTTTGTAAAGTGAGCTCTAGGTCCTTCCTCTGCACACTTTCTTTGTGCACATTTACAGCAGCAGCCAGTCTAGAATAGAGGAATTCCATTTCGGCTTCCAGTCTTTTCTTGCTGTGTTTTTCCTTCTTCAATTTTGAATTCAGCCTTGTATTCTCAGCTTTGAGATCATCAAGCTGTTGACAATACTGCGACATTGTTTTTGCTATCATTTCCTCCTTGAGTCCTATACTTTTTTGAAAGTTAGTATTTGTTTCTCCAATTCTTCTGATTTTCCGAATATATTCCTTTTCCCTTTTGAGATTGGCATTTTTTACTGCGCACACTTTTCGTCTCAGTTTGGCACTATTTTTCTTCAACACGCCGTTTTCAGACTTCACATCCTTCTTTTTTCCATAACTTTGACAATCCTAAATAAAACAAAAGAAATGTTTAGCTAGCACTCAACAAAGTAACATATCATGATTACCTCTGAAGTGAACGAACGACCTGTACATTCATGCAATTAAAAGTTGCTATAAGTGGATATCCAGCTGGAGAAAAACTTGAAGCAAAACCTCGAACCTTAGCATAAATTTCAAAAAGTTCAAAACTTCATTTGAAGTCAAAGAATCCATAACAGTAAAAAATTACACACACACTTGAGAATTCTCAAGAATATCAGAAATGGAAAAGCCTTTCTCTGAATTACAACAAACTCAAAGCATAAAATAGAATATTAACACATGTGACTAAGTTAAAATATTGAAATAAGAAAATTGCATTTATACTGTGATATCCAACCCAGACATCACCCTACAGTAAGAGCTTTACCTCCACTTGTATTTGGACAAATAAAATTTCTCGAAGTGTTTAAAGTTCTGCTTTTTGATAATATTCTATTGTGATTTCACTCAACCCTTTTTAGTCAGTTATAAGAATTATATTCACTAAATCACATCTCTAGACATTGTACTAAGCACTTCCACATGCTTGTAGTGATGAACTGATTTACTTATCACAATTCTTAAAGAGAGGTTACAAGACACAAGCAAACTGCAGGATTTTCCCCGAGGTTTTTGACTCGATTTCTAGTTCTCCACCAGATCACAGTTACTTCTGTGGTGTCAATGTATCAGCACAAAAGCAGAGAAACAAAAAGACACAGACATCAAATGTGTCTTCTGACTTTATCACCAGGATGCTACATGAAGTAGCCGGATTGAGAAGATGTGAACTTGTGGGGCTTCAGAAACAGAAAAGAAGCTTTCCCTTTTCTGCACGAAGCTATTTTATTTCCCACTGCCTTTTATCTTCTTTTTTAAATTTGGATCCCACGGTATCAAAAAAGTGAAGGTGCTCACTGAAATAGAAGAACCAAGTTTGCCCCAACACAATGAGAAGAGTGAAATTGCTGAGTTGCAGTGCTGAATCCTGGAAGATGAGATGTTCCCCAAATGTACATTCAACGACCACACAAGTTTATAGCTGGAAGATACACGGTATAGCTGTCTACTCCAGCCTGATTATCTACTTCATAATGGAAGTGAAACCAAGGAATATTAGATAATTCACCAGAGCTCCTAAGGTCGCATTACCTAGCATTTCATGGTACCAAAAGGGAAGATGATTTTGCATATTGCTGGATTACATAAATTTCCAGGAAAATATATCAAATTAGTTAGATAAATTAAAAGTGTGACTTTGGCCAAGCATTTAATGCCTTGGAGGATGGTGGGAGGCCTCATTTGCTTTTACTTTGAAAGAAGAAAATATCTATATTTTTGTCTATCTTTAGACACACTGTACAGAACTCAGCTTTGTAGTATAGACTCAAATTCTAAATTTTTGGCTGAGGAATTATGCTACTTATATGATAAATTCATACATGTCAAACTTTACCATATTTTATTAAACATAATACAAAAGTCTGATTCAACAGAAACACTGGGGAGTGGTAATTTTTTTAAATATACAAAAGTCTATGTATTTGTTTCCGAAAACATTTCAAATGGCCGTGATGGAATTATACGCTCTAACAGTTTGAGTGAAACAGATACATTTGCATGCATGAAAGCACATTCAACAGACTCCGCTGGCTGGGAATATTGTTTGCAACTCTCAAGGCTAGATACATTTTCAGGTCTCTTCTCAGTCCTTGTTTCCCTCCCATTGTATTACCATTTTATTATTTAAATAAATCTAATTCATCTTTAAATCAGTACAGAAAAAAGAATCTAGAGCTTGCTTCTTTAGCAACTTCTTTTATACTTATCTGGTTCAGAAGGTCACATGGCTAAATTATTTTCCCAGCCCATGTGCCACTGGGAAGACTGACAGTGAGACTTAGGTTGACCAACGAACAAAGATTATGACAATGATTTTCCAGAACTGTCATTTACATAGCAGTAGAATCTACTTTGACACATAATTACACATTTGGATAACGCCACTGTAACTAAAAACAAGATTTTCTTCAATACAAAACCAGAATGAATCAGACGGTTCATAAAAAGAGAAGCAGCAAGTGAACCTCCTTCTTTTCACAGTTAAACTTTCTTTCTTCAAAGCCAGGAACTCTATTTGTAACATTCCCACCTCATTCTTAGGCCTTTGCATCGCTGTGAGAAACAGGCTACATGTCTAGTTTGTTATAATTTTTACAGTCTGATTTATTTTCCTTTGAATAAAGCTTAGAAGATGACTGGCAAGCTAGATATGCTTTTGATGTTCTGTCACTACGTGGTGAAGAATAACTCACATCTTCTAATTCAGGTTTCATGCTTTTTTTTTTTTTTTTTTTGAGACGGAGTTTTGCTCTTGTGACCCAGGCTGGAGTGCAATGGCGCAGTCTTGGCTCACCGCAACCTCCACCTCCTGGGTTCAGGCAATTCTCCTGCCTCAGCCTCCCGAGTAGCTGAAATTACAGGCATGCGCCAACATGCCCAGCTAATTTTTTGTATCTTTAGTAGAGACGGGGTCTCACCATGTTGACCAAGATGGTCTCGATCTCTTGACCTCATGATCCACCCGCCTTGGCCTCCCAAAGTGCTGGGTTTCATGCTTTTATAGCTATTAGCAGTGGGACTGTCATATGTGGGTCCCTGAAACACGCTTGCTAGTCACCTTCTAAGCTTTAGAAGAGCTTCTAAGTTCCATATGGCTTGTGGAACAAGTGCTGTATTGGTTTTCCATTTTTGTAAGTGTCTCTAACAGCAGAAATACTGGGGCTTTCTATCTGTATCATATGCTCCATTACTCTGGAGTGAGCAAACCACAAATCAAAAAACACTTTTTGGATCTCTAGACTGAGGCCAATGTCTAATGTCTGATTTTCTATTAGTGGTATTTTGGTTTATATTTTTTGTTATTTGCATATCAAACTCTTGATCTTTCATTTCAACCATAACCAGTGTGTTCTTTAATTTTTCAGTTTCTGTATCATTACAACATTCTCTTCATCTCTGTGAAAAACAGGCTACATGTCTGGGTTGTTATGATTTTTACAGTCTGTCTTATTTTCATTTGACTAAAGCTTAGAAGATGATGGGCACGTGTGTGTGAGGGACCCAGGGTATAAATGCAGTGCAAAGACATATTTGAGACGGCTCCTTCTGTTCAGGCAACGCCTGGAATACTACAAAGTTAGACACTGCAGATTATGTGCTCCCTATGATCAGGGAAATGATTCACCGGATTACAGGGCGCTCCCTTTAAGTTTGTCCCTCCTTGGCGTTACTACGTAAGATCTCTTCCTCAGGACAAACGGTAATTTTGGATTTTTCAAAACTTTCACTAATCTTCAGTTGAATTTTTTGTAATGAATTTTAAAGGAAGTCCTGAATATACAGATGTATCTTCTTTATCACAATTCTTACTCAGTTGTGGTTCTTGTGACTTTTTTTTGCAGTTCAAAAGTGGAAAACTAATTTGTTTGTTTTGTTTCTCAGATGTCTTTTCTGTCCGGGTACCTGTTTTAAAATTGACTTAGGCCAGGCACAGTGGCTCAAGCCTGTAATGCCAGCATTTTGGGAGGCCGAGGTAGGTGGATCACGAGGTCAAGAGATCGAGACCATCCTGGTCAACATGGTGAAACCCCATCTCTATTAAAAATACAAAAAATTAGCTGGGCATGGTGGCACGTGCCTGTAATCCCAGCTGCTCGGGAGGCTGAGGCAGGAGAATTACCTGAACCCAGGAAATGGAGGTTGCGGTGAGCCGAGATCGTGCCATTGCACTCCAGCCTGGGTAACAAGAGTGAAACTCCATTTCAAAAAAAAAAAATAATAAAAATAACGTTATTATGAATTAAGTATGAACAAAGAGAAAATAGAAAACAATTAAAATCAGCCGTGTGCAGTGGCTCACACCTGTAACCCCAGCACTTTTGGAGACCAAGGTGGGTGGATCACCTGAGGTCAGGAGTTTAAGACCAGCCTGGACAATATGGAGAAACCCCATCACTAACAAAAATAGAAAAATTAGCTGAGTATGTTGGTGGGCTCCAGAAATCCAAGCTACTTGGGAGACTGAGGTGAAAGAGTCACTTGAACCCAGGAGGTGGAGGTTGCAGAGCCGAGATTGCAGCATTGCACTCCAGCCTGGGCAGCAAGAGCAAAATTCCATCTCTAATAATAATAATAATAACTAAAATTTAACTGTGAAATTTAATTTATGGTTTGCTACCCCTAAGTTACTGGATTATAACTAAGAAGTAAAAAAGTAATTTGCCTTGGCTTCACACAGGAAGCTTAACTCTCACTGTTTGAAGAAAACTTAATTCGTTACGAATTAAATCTGCCAGAAATGGGTTGATAGATGGTATGTAGTATCGTAAAGCGTTCTCTCTGAAGGGATTTTCACCTCAGCAAACCATACACAGTGAACCCCTACAGTGAATTCATACATCTGAAGAATAACTGGAGAGGAGGCAAATGCTAAATTATTAGAATTGGCTAAAGTGTTTTAAAATTCAATGTGAAATTGTGATCTGCTGCACTCTAAAAGGATAGTCTAAAAGGTCACTTCATTTGGACTACGGTATGTTATCTTTCAAACGTAAACAAAGCAACCGATAGGGAAGCGGAGATTTCAGTACTTTCCTACCTGCGGCTGTTGGTTTCCGCTTCCTTCAAGACGTTCTTGCCTTTCCTCTGAAGCCACTTTTAAGTCAAGTTCTGCTAACAAATAAATATATTGCGTTTAAATGAATGACACAGAACACTTAAAAGACTATAATCTTTAGAAAAATGGATACAAAAAACATACACATTTATTTTACAAATTGAGAGTTTAAATGAAGCTTAATGTTTACTACAATATTTACCTTTTTAAGAACTACTTCTAATTATCTAAAACTTCAACAAACCACTTGGGGAGACACTAGATATCAGCAGGTTCGAGCCATGCAAAAATCTCAGGGTCACCCACAAATTATTCCACTCAATATAAACAAACAAAAATTTAAAAATACGTGAAAACATATCAAGTAACACTTTGCTATTCTCTCCTTCCTAATGGTGTATTTTTTTAACAACATGCTAAACGAGTTATTTACCAATAATTTGTAAAAATTTTGTTACTGTTTTATCTTTAGTAGTGTACATCCTGCTTTTCACATCTGAAATGTCTTCCTCTACTATTCTGAAAAATTTATATTTGTGTTTTAAGACTCTGAATGTAGGCTTGGCACAGTAGATCAGACTTGTAATCCCAGCCCTTTGAAAGGCCTGAGGGAGAGACTTGCTCAAAGCCAAGAGTTTAGGACCAGCCTGGAGACCACAGTGAAACCTTGACTCTACAGAACATTTGCCAGGCATGGTGGTGTGCGCCCGGAGTGCCAGCTGCTCAAGGGGTTGAGGTGAGAGGCTCCCTTAAGCCCAGGAGTTTGAGTTTGCAGCGACTCTCGATCATGCCATTGCACTCCACCCTGGGTGACAGAGTCAGAACTTGTTTCCAGAAACAGAAGAAAAAATCAAAGAAAGAAAGAAAAGGTTCAGAATGCTATGTGAAGTCCGCTTTGAATCTGGCTATTTTTATTCACATACACAAGTGTCTCCTTCCTTGGGGATCCCTTAGTACTCTGCCAATTTGTCTATGTCACTTTACCATCTGAACTGTCCATGATGTCTCTGCATGTCTATCCTCTTTGCTGCTAGACTGTAGCAATCATCTTTGCATAAAGTCTTTATTTTCCTAAATATTTGGTAAGTTCCTGCTAAGTGGTGGCACTGGGGTTTAAGGAAGGGGAATAAAACTGGTCAGGGATAGCTTTTCTAGAGATCGCGCGTGAGCTGAGACTTAGAGCATCAAGTACACCAGATTAAAAGAGGCAGAGAGCAGAAAGAATAGCGCATTGGCAAGAGAGGAAAAGAAGCCTCCCAGAGCATATGTATCTGTCTACATGAGATGGATGGTGATGGGGGCATTACCAGTAGCTCAGTAATGGCAGAAAAAAGGGCAGACAGACAAAGAGCTGCAGATGGGGATTTGGACAGAAGCCAGTTTCTGAAAGCCTTATACAAACCGACTATCATTATCGTTTCTTAAATTTAGAAAAAAGCAAAACAAATTTTAAAAGAAAAAGACCAGCATTTTATCTTATCTTATCTTAGGTGACTTGATTTGCATTAGAGGCGTGGTCTTCCTCTGCCGCCCAGGACTGTGGTTTTGCTATCAGAGCTAACTGCAGCCTCAAACTTCCAGGCTCAAACAACTCTCTGCTTCAGCTGCTCAAGTAGCTGGGATTATGGGGGCAGAACACCACACCCAGCAACATCAAAAAAAATAGACACGGAGCCTTGCTATGTTTCCCAGGCTGCTGGACTTCCTAGCCTCAAGGGATTTTTCTGTCTCAGCCGCCAACACTGTGGGGATTACAGCAGGAGCCACCATGCCCAGCAACACCAATATTTTATTTATTTATTTATTTATTTATTTATTTTTGAGACGGAGTTTCGCTCTTGTTACCCAGGCTGGAGTGCAATGGCTGATCTCGGCTCACCGCAACCTCCGCCTCCTGGGTTCAGGCAATTCTCCTGCTTCAGCCTCCTGAGTAGCTGGGATTACAGGCACGGGCCACCATGCTCAGCTAATTTTTTGTATTTTTAGTAGAGACGGGGTTTCACCATGTTGACCAGGATGGTCTTGATCTCTTGACCTCGTGATCCACCCGCCTCGGCCTCCCAAAGTGCTGGGATTACAGGCTTGAGCCACCGTGCCCAGCAACACCAATATTTTAAATGAATAAACTGGAGTTCCATCATTTTATTTTATCATGAGTGGGTAAAAACCTCATAATAGACTCATGTACTCCATGGATTTGTGACAAGGAAACTGTAGCATTAACTATGGCTGAAGCTTCCCTGGTCTATGTGGTTAAGAGTAGAGACATTCAAGTGTCTTACCCTTTGCTGCTCCTCCTGTTCCTCCTCCTCCTCCTTCTTGTTGTTCTTCTTCCTCCTCCTCCTCCTCCTCCTCCTCCTCCTCTTCTTCTTCTTCCTCCTCCTCTTCTTCTTCTTCCTCCTCCTCCTCTTCTTCTTCCTCCTCCTCCTCTTCTTCTTCTTCTACTTCTACTTCTTCTTCTACTTCTTCCTCCTCCTCCTCCTCCTCCTCCTCCTCCTCCTCCTCCTCCTCCTCCTCCTCCTCCTCCTCCTCTTCTTCTTGTTCCTCCTCCTCCTTCTCCTCTTCTCCTCCTCCTTCTTCTTCTTCTCCTTCCCCTTCTCCCTCTCCTTCTTCTTCTTCTTTGTTCAAATTTGCAGGCTTCATAGCTGCTGTTTCTGTCAAACATGCAAGCTTGTTATATACTCCTTCTGGAAACATCATCCCTCTGCCTCCTTATCTGGCAAAGTTTCACTCACTCTACATGCTTACCCTAAATCTTATACACCTTTTAGAAGCTTGCACTCATCACCACAAATTTAAAAGTGCATGGAATCTAATGAGCATAATAAAATACCTAGTAAATAATAACTATATGCTCTCAGGTGACATCTATCGTCCATCTATCCTCTACATTAGGGGTCAGCACACTACAGACCACAGGCCAAATGCTGCCTAGCATATGTTTTTTCTCAAAGTTTTATGAGAGTAGTCAGACCCATTCACTGACAGGCCACCTATGACTGCTTTCTCACCACCATGGCAGGGTTGAGTAGCTACAATAGAGATCACATGGCTTCAGCTGTTCAAAATCATTTTTGCGGGGGGCGGGGAGAGAGAGAGAGAGAGAAAGAAAGAGAGAAAGAGAGAGACCACATGGCCTAAAATATTTTCTACTTGGCCCTTTACAGAAAAAGCTTGCCAATCTCTGCTTTATACCATGAACAGAATGCCCCAATTCTCAAATCTAATCCAATGCCTTCCCTGCTCACAGTTTTCCAATGAATTCCTGCAGCGAACACTGCTGGCTCTCTACCCAAGAGCAGTTCCTTATTGTTTCTTGCTGGAGAAACACAAATCTATTTGGACATTTATTATCCCAATAACCGTCCCCAGCTTCGAAAGAGAAATGATTATTCTAAGGTAATCACATAATTACATGTGCTTTCCCATTGCCTGGTTCAGGGATGAGCATGTGGTGTGACCCAGCCAATAAGACAGTAAAGGAAGCCCCCTGCATGCTTCTGAGTTTTCTCTCAGTTTAAAAGACACATATGAAGAAAACCAGCCCTTCCAGCCCTTCGATGCTGTCTTGTGAGAACATGAGGGTTGGAGCTGTTGCTAAGTAGTGACCCCTGAAAGGAGACATGAACAAGACACTGCCGACATCTTACATGAAAGACGAACACGTGGGATCCAGTAATATCATGGGACCAAAACAAGTCTGCTTTTTATGGTTTTGGCCACTGTTAATTAGGTCTTTCTAATATTTGCAGCCAAAAGCATTCTACCTGAGAAGTTTCTCCTAGCCACAGGGTAAGATCTACTCATTTATATCCTACTGAAAGTCTTTTAGTAAACTTGTTTATAGACACAGGTAAAACAACAACAACAAAGTATTTCCTCAGCTTGCCTTTACTGACACATGCTGGACATCATAAATACATAATAAATAACTGTAAGCTATTTTCACCCCATTCCCAACCACTCCCATATACTCTTTCTGCACTAGTCAATTTGAACTGCTCATAAACTCTACAGAGCTCACTCAGGTGTCCTACCTTTTGAACTTGCTCCTCCTTTTTTGAAACTTTCATCCTTCATGGCTGCTGCTTCTGTCAAACATGCAAGCTTGTTAGAGATTCCTTCTGCCAAGCATCGTCCCTCTGCCTCCTTACCTGGAAAAGTTTACTCACTCTACGTGCTTGCCCTAAATCCTACCCACATTTGAGAAGCTTGCATTCATTGCCACAGATGTAAAAATGCCTGGCACATACTAAACGTAATACACATATGTAAGGAATAATAACTATAAGCTCCCAGATGACAGTGGACACACAGTAAGCACTACATAAGGGAGTAAACCAAATAAAGGACAATGGTAACAACAATCTCCTAACCGTATTAATAAACTGTCTTTTGTAACATTGGAGAAAAATTCTTAGTCCATAAAAGACACATGATAGTTATTTTTTAAGTGGACAGTGTATGAATGAATCAACATATTTTTCTTAAAAATTTAGTTTAAAAATTCAAAAATTAAATAGTTATCTATATTCTGTTATGAACACCTTGAAGACAAAAAGCCACGTCAATTTCATCTTTGCCTTTTGCAATTTGCCAAACCTAACTTACAGAAGTGGTTTGATAAGTATGTACTAAATTTAAGGTGTCTTTATACCGTTCAGATGGCACAATGTATTAGGTGTTACATTTTTGTTATTGTGAACCATTTTTATGATTTTAGTATAATATTTTGAACCTAGAGTTTGGCTACTGGAATATTTATTATGATCACCATTTGCCTAATGGTCACAGAGTACCTTTTTATTTATTTTTTTCAGATGGAGTCTGAGTGCAGTTGTGCGATCTCGGCTCACTGCAATTTCCAACTCCGGGGTTCAAGCAATTCTCCTGCCTCAGCCTCCCAAGTAGTTGAGATTACAGGTGACTGCCCCCATGCCTGGCTAATTTTTGTATTTTTAGTAGAGATGGGTTTCACTGTGTTGGCCAGGGAAGTCTCAAACTGATGACCTCAAGTAATCCACCTGCTTTGGCCTCCCAAGGTACTAAGATTTTTTTTTTTTTTTTGAGATGGAGTTTTGCTCTTGTTGCCCAGGCTGGAGTGCAATGTGCGATCTGAGCTCACAGCAACCGCTGCCTCCTGGGTTCAGGCAATTATCCTCCCTGAGCCTCCTGAGTAGCTGGGACTAACAGGCACGTGCCACCGTGCCCAGCTAATTTTTTGTATTTTTAGTAGAGACAGAGTTTCACCATGTTGACCAGGATGGTCTTGATCTCTTGACCTCGTGATCCACCCGCCTCAGCCTCCCAAAGTGCTGGGATTACAGGCGCGAGCCACCGCGCCCGGCCCAAAGTACTAAGATGACAGGTATGAGCCACCATGCCAAACCTGGTAACAGAGTATCTTGTTCCAATAAAATCACTATTATTGTGAGAATTATCCAGCATATAATAAAATGCAGCTTGTTCTAAGAAGTAAATATATCTCATGAGGTTCCAACTTATGGAGAATGAAGTAAAAAATAGACCTCGTTTGTATAAGAATATGTAATATAACTTCTGCTGCTTGGAAAGGAATTACTTTTCTGACTTCTGCATTCAATAGGTAACTTCAAAAATCATCTATTTGAATGGGTGAACACTGGCTCAGTTTTATGACTCTTATTCCCTTTGTTTTATGGTATCAAAAAGAAATCGTTGAGTTCCCAGTTCTAAAGATAGTTACTTTCTTAGTGACACAAACTCCTGTGTAATACAGTTGACCCTTAAACAACAAGAGTTTGAACTGCAGGGGTCCACTTACATGCAGATTTTTCTTCTGCCTCTGCAAACCAGAGACAGCAAAACCAAACTTTTCTATTCCTCTTCAGCCTAATCAACCTGAACATAATGAAGACCTTTGCAAGAATTCACTTAAGCTTTTGAATAGTAAATATATTTTTTCTTTTCTATAATTTTCTTTATAAAAGCTTCATTTCTCTACCTTATTTTATTGTAAGAACATAGTATATAATAATGCAACACATACCAAATATGTGTTCATCGACTGTTTATCAGTAAGGCTTCCAGTCAATGGTAAACTATTAATAGCTCAGTTTGGAAGGAGTCAGCTACACTCAGATTTTCAACTGCACAGGGATCAGAGTCCCTAACCCGCACATTATTCAAGAATCAACTGTAGTTAATGTTTATTTACTAAATACAAACCATTAATTATAAAAATTAAATAGAAGATCCATTTGCATGACAAGTCCAGTTTGTAATAATGTGATCATAGAGAAATACAACATACTAACTTAAACATCTAATTTCTTTTTATATCAATACAAAAACATCACATAGATTTTCAGGGATCATAAGTAGCTAAATAAACTTTTTCAGACTGTTTGAGATTATAAATTAGCTACAATTAACCTCTTAAATAACTCTAAATTCTAAAGAAATTAAATAAAAAACATATATACATATTTAATTATGTAAAAAATCTTATATATACATATATATATATATATTTAAACTACTCTTTAATAATTAAAACTGTATAATCTTACTTTTTTACCCCAGAGATAGAGTCTTGCTCTTTCGTCCAGGCTGGAGTGCAGTGGTGTGATCTCAGCTCACTGCAACATCCACTTTCTGGGTTCAACTGATTCTCCTGCCTTAGCCTCCCAAGTAGCTGGGATTACGGGCTCCAGCCATCCCGCCTGACCGACTTTTTATTTTTAGAAGAGATAGGGTTTTGCCATATTAGTCAGATTGGTCTCAAACTCCTGACATCAGCAGGTCCACCCGCCTTGGCATATCAAAGTGCTGGGGTCATAGCTGTGAGCCACCATGCCTGGCCTGGAATATTGCTTTTTAAAATCAGTAAGACTACCAAGAGAAATGAGAAATTTACTATCAGAAGTCTTACCTCGATTGTCATTTCGAAGATGCTTTTTAAGTATCTTATTTTTATGTACCAAAAGTTGTTGTTGAATGCTACAAGCATAATAAATATAATACATAAAATTACTATTTTTATCAAAATATAATATTTACCAAACATATGAAATTTTAAAGCTTTTCAGACAATATCAGAGCTAATAACAGAACTTTAATGTCCCATACACTTTAAAATTGTAAGCTCTATAAACTTAAGCTTCTAATTAAAGAAGAAAAACATAAAGTACTCATAAACGGAGAGAAGCATAGCTCAGTAAATGAATTCTAGTCAGTTTAACATCCTGGAACGTGTCCTGCACTCAGAATAAGTCTTCGCTCTGTAACCAACAGGTATTTCGTTTGTGGACCAGTTGTTCTTAGGCTCCATGGCTTCTTCTAAAAAATAAGGATTTACTGCCTTTCTTCACTAGGCTGTAAGTAGGATGTAAGGAGATAACATGTTTAAATGCTCAGAGAAATAGGAAAGCAATGGAACAATTTACTCGAAGTGCATTGCTGAAATAATTTTGAAATCTCAAAACCTGATGGGTGCATTTTCATAGGTTCTAATATTTCAATGTCACAGTTTTTGGAAAATGTAATTAAGTGCTAATTTTGACAAGACAACACCCGGCTTGTATTGTCTTCCAGTTCCATGAAATAGATGCGAGTTGATGTTTCCTTATTTCCAAGTCAGGTACTAACAACATATTTGCATGTAACATCCCATATGTTACTCAGTTCTGTTCTCATTTCACAGATGACCTTACATGAATGCTTTTTTTTAAATTGAGATGAAGTCTCACTCTGTAGCCCAGGCTGGAGTGCAGTGGCACAATCTCAGCTCACTGCAACCTCTGCTTCCAGGGTTCAAGCAATTCTCCTGCCTCAGCCTCCTGAGTAGCTACTGGAGTAGTAGACTGCTGGAGTGTGCCAACACACTTGGCACCTTTTCTGCATTTTTAGGAGAGATGGGGTTTCACCATGTTATCTGGGATGGACTCAATCTCCCGACCTCATGCTCCGCCCGCCTCGGCCTTTCAAAGTGCTGGGATTACAGGCATGAGCCACTGCATCTGGCCCGACATGAACACTTCTATGATGATAATAGTAACAATTTCAATTTTGGGCGTCTCCCAGTTTGGTTTGACTCACACTGTTTCCCTGGAGCTAGTTAACAGATAGTCAAATGACATTCTGGGGACTGTGCAAAATACAGAATGCTTTGAGAATCTGTGTGCCATTCTTAGACAGCAGGCATGCTTATCTGTTCTGTACTGATTCAATATTGGGATATGTGCTGCTGAAACAGGTGTAAGGCCCTTATACATGGATACTCATGAGTCATGTATAAAGCTTAGCTCTGTTAAATCCAAATTACCTACTGCAGATATAGAGAACTGTATTGAATGACTTCCTGTGAGGTAGAATTTTTAAGTATTTCAAAAACTTGAGGTAGAGATGCAAGTATCCTGACAGATTTTCATTATGATGGAAACAGACCACTGGGCCAGCTGCAAGTTGGTGCCCACTACTCTACTGCAGGATAATGTGGAAGCTTCTGCTGTCTATCAAAAGCTGCTGCACGGGACATGAAAAAGCCTCAGGTGCAGATGTGATAACAAAAGGGGATGGACACTCTGACCTCTTCCTACAACATGATTTGAACGTTCCTGACTGTTGAGTACAATTCCAACTAATATTTGCCAGAGAAAAGACAAACATCAGTCTCAAAGGATAACTTACCATGAAAGTCTGGGCTAAGCCTAACTAAGAGGTGGGCTACAAATAAGGTTTTTAGTTTTGAGACAGGGTCAATTTACAATTATGTGTTTGGGTAAAGCCAGGAGGCCTCGCTGCCAGAGCAGAATGCTGGGAACACGGGCTGAGTATATGTACATGAATAAAAACACACTGCAGCTGTGACCTCTGTGTATGAGTCACCATGAAGACTGAGGGATCTGAATCAGTAAAGGCATCCTGGGGGCAAAGGTCAACCATTGCCAGATTGTAGGACCCGTTACAATGGCAGCAAGACAGCAGGTGAATCAGTGGAAACAACGGATGATGAGAGTTTTTCTCTCCTTCTTCCGACTTGTAAAGTGAGACCGTCTTCCTTGGACTTCGTGGATGCCTTAGTTTTTCAAAAAATTCAAAGCAGGAAGGCACAGGAGACAGCCCCAGGGGACAATACAAGATTTTCTGCTAAACTGGACATTTCAAGACCCAACAACTAATTAGAAAGGTCAGGCCAGGCACGTTGGCTAGCAGTTTGGGAGGCCGAGGCAGGAGAATCACTCGAGCTTAGGAACATGGGCAACATAGTGAGACCATGTCTCAAAAAAAAAGAAAGAAAAATAGTAAAAAGATGTGACACTATTTATATCTCACGTCTAGGGGTTATACTTGGAATAAAATGAACAACACTGAGGTATCCAGGGACAAAAGTTTTTTAAAGTCCTGAAAGAATCTTGCACTATTGCTCCTTCTCACTGGTTTAGCTTCTGTTTGATTTCTGGCTACAAAGTGGACTAACTCGTTGCCATCCCTAACTACATCTAAAAAACTATGAAATGCCACCTAATGTGTAAGATGCAATATTTCTCATTGTTGTAAAGCCTAACTTAGTATTAACTGGTCTTTTAATATAAACACTTACCTTGTGACATCACAACAAACGGCATAATCTTCTGCAGTTAGTTGAAATGAATCTTGAGAAAAGATGTTAACATTTTGTTCAAGAAGAAAGCCGACTATACTTGGAAAGTCATGATGTATGGCAAGCACGAGGGCTGTTCTAAAATATCAAAGAAATGACTCCACTCAAGAACGTTCATAAGGATATTTAACTGGCAAATTGGATACATCTTACCAATTAGTATCATGCCTGTCAGTGCAGACATAAGAACCATTCACATGTTCTAGCTTAGGCCTATAAGCATCTTGGGTGCTTAAGTGTTCATCTTTGTAAATTAATTTTAATTTTAATTTTTATAAAGACGGGGTTTCACCATGTTGGTCAGGCTGGTCTTGAACTCCCCACCTTAGGTGATCCACCCACCTTGGCCTCCAAAGTGCTTAGATTACGGGCGTGAGCCACCACGCCCAGCCCATCTTTGTAAATTACCACCAAAGCAAAAAGGCAGGGACAATAAGGAAGTCTCTTGTCCCACTGGGGTATGACATAATACAAATTGCTAACTTATAGTTTTTTGATGGCCAAGTAACTATGCTGAGGTCATTTATATAAAGTAAGCAAGTATTTAGATGAAGATTTCTTCATTGCTTTTCTAGTCTGGTATATCGTAATTCAAAGTCAGCTAGAGGTCAGGTAACTGAGTGCTAACTGCAGGCTGAAAACAACAGCAACGATGGTAATAATAATAACGGGAATAGTAGTAGTTGTAAACTGAAAGTTAAAAACTTCAAAGGAGGAGGGCGGGGTGTGGCGGCGCACGCCTGTAATCGCAGCTCTTTGGGAGGCCGAGTTGGGCAGATCACCTGAGATCAGGAGATCGAGACCATCTTGACCAACATGGAGAAACCCCGTCTCTACTAAAAATACAAAACTAGCCAGGTGTGGTGGCACATGCCTGTAATCCCAGCTACTCAGGAGGCTGAGGCAGAAGAATCGCTTGAACCCAGGAGGCAGAGGTTGCAGTGAGCAAGATCGTGCCACTCACTGCACTCCAGCCTGGGCAACAAGAGTGAGATTCCACCTCAAAAAAAAAAAAAAAAAAAAAAAAATTCAGAGGGGAAGGCATAGGATATCATAAGAATGGTAACTGTAGTAGTTTTAAACTGAAAGTTAAAGTCTACACTTTATAAAATTAATAAAACACGAAACCCCTTTAGCTAATATAAAATTTGAGGACCAAAACCATCCGATTACAAATAACAGTCTATAAGAGAAAATGAACCCTACTATATACCATTCTTACGTTGCACAGTCCAAATAACTGCTTTTCTATTTAACTGATTATTTGTGCTGTTTTTCACTGTATGCCAATAATTATAAGTTGATCTTATTAACATTTCTGACTCCAGTGACTGTTACCATTCTAGAATAGTCAGGATTTTGTTTTTTAAAAAATGAACTACTGTACCTTCTGAAATTATCAACTGCATGTACATTTGCCCCATTTTTTACCAAAAATTCCACCATTTGCCATCTCTTGCAAATTACGGCAAGCAGAAGGGGTGTGTTTCCCTCCTGTGAGAAAGCAAAAACAATTTATAATTCATAAAACTACATAGTTCTCAACTGAACGAAAAATCTTCTATAAGATGCTATGAAGTTAAACAAACAATATAGAAAGAAAGTAAATGCAAAACGGTCACAGCCTTCGCCCTCCTCTGTGCTTTTCCACACACTGCCTTGCAAACACCCCTCTTCTGTCTCCCCATGTTAACCTTAGTCATCTCCAAAACTCACTTTACCAGGCCCCAAAATCATTGTTTCTATCACAGCGTTTTAACACAGCATATACTGTAATTATTTCATTGCTTCCCACTGAAACCAAGAGCTTCTTGAGAGCAAGGGCTGTATCTTTTTTTCTCTCTCTATAACCCTAAAACTGAAGACATAGTAGCAAATGCTTCAAATTTTAAAAATAAATTAATGATCTAAATCATTCTCTAGAGCAATTTTTCTTAAACCATATTCCAAAGAATATTTGTTTTGCCAGAAATACTATTCCCCAACAGCAAGATTCCGTGATCACTTGCATTTGAGAAGTATTACAAAACTGTATGATGGGGCTGACAATCAAGAAATCTCCTGAACTTTGCCTAATCCCAATTTGACAATATTTTTTGTGCCAAACAATCACATTTTAGAATCGTTGCATAGGTACACACATGGCAATGTGGTTTGCTGCCTCCATCCCCCTATCACCTACATCTGGCATTTCTCCCGATGTTATTCCTCCTTGACCTCCGCACCCCGCCGCTGTCCCTCCCTTGACCCCCCAACAGATCCCAGTGTGTGATGCTCCCCTCCCTGTGTCCATGTGTTCTCGCTGTTCATCAACCGCCTATGAGTGAGACCATGTGGTGTTTGATTTTCTGTTCTTGTGTCAGTTTGCTGAGGATTATGGTTTCCAGGTTCATCCATGTCCCTACAAAGGACATGAACTCATCATTTTTTATGGCTGCATAGTATTCCACGGTGTATATGTGCCACATTTTCCTTGTCCAGTCTATTGATGGGCATTTGGGTTGGTTCCAGGTCTTTTCTATTGTAAACAGTGTCGCAATGAACATATGTGTATATGTGTCTTTATAATAGAATGATTTGTAATCCTTTGGGTATATACTCAGTAATGGGATTGCTGGGTCAAATGGAATTTCTATTTCTAGGTCCTTGAGGAAGTGCCACACCGTCTTCCACATGGTTGAACTAGTTTACACTCCCACCAACAGTGTAAAACTGTTTCTATTTCTCCACATCCTCTCCAGCATCTGTTGTCTCCTGATTTTTTAATGATTCTAACTCGCGTGAGGTGGTATCTCAATGTGGTTTTGATTTGCATTTCTCTAATAATCAGTGATGATGAGCATTATTTCATGTGTTTCTTGGCCTCATATGTCTTCTTTTATTTCAAAATATTTTCATTCAGGGAGTGCTTCAGCTTCTAAACATGAAAAATTAATCCTTATCTTTCTCAATGTTAAAACAACTATTTTGAAAAGAAAGTTGATTGATCTATACCTTGTTTACTGCTTCAATATTTGCACTGTGGAAAAGCAGTTTTTCTGCCAGTGAAGTCCCCTCATTATATACAGCATAATGAAGAGCGGTGTTGCCGTAGACATCTTGAATGTTTGGATTGGCGCCATGTTTCAGCAGAGAAATGGAGCAGTTCTCATTCTGGCTGTGTACAGCCTATCAGTGTTAAATAAAAAACTAGGCTGTAAATTCTAAGAATTCACAGTACATATTCCACAGGTTTCACCAACTAGTTATATTTAAATGCGATAAATTCATTTTATTTCTATGTATTTAAAGCAAATCCGTTTGATGCTGTAGAGTTGGCTACTACATACCTTCATTAACGGTGTCCTGTTTAGTCTGTCGCCGACGTCCGTCTGGCAGTTTCTGCTCAGTAACAGACTGACAACTTCCGCACGGCCATAGGCACAGGCCAAATGGAGGGCAGTCCTGTGAGAGTAGGAGGAGTTTTCAGGAAATTGCAATGCCATATCCCAAGACCTACGGTGGTTCGCGTCATTGTCAACATTGAATGGCATGCTATTCCTCTGCCTTCAAAACAAATAAAATTTTTTGGACGAAAGTACAATATTTATTAGCTCTTATTGCTCACTGCCTTAATGAAGACTGCAGCCTATTTGGATAGAATGAGCTTGGTCTTTGGATTCCGTCCAACTAGGGCTTGAGTTCTACTCTGAGCTCTGTCACTTACCAGCTATTACTTAGGCTTCCTGTGCCTCAGTTTCCTCATTAATAAAATAAAGATGACAATAGCAGCTGGCTCACAGGACACCATTGTGATGCTTAAATGTGAACCTATCTAAACTAGTTAGAACTGTTTTTAGAACAAGCAAGAACTCAGTAATTGTTAGATTTTAGTTTTTTGAGAAAGGGTCTCACTCTGTTGCCCAGGCTGCAGTGCAATGGTGTATTTATACCTCACTGCAGCCTGGAACTCTGAGGCTCAAGCAATCCTCCTGCCCTAGCATCCTGAGTAGCTGTGACTACAGGAGTGCACCAGCATGCTCCATTAATTTTTAAATGTTTTTTGGTAGAGTAGGAATCTCACTTTGTTTCCCAGGGTGGTCTCAAGCTCCTGGCATCGAGGGAACCTCCCACCTCAGCCTTCCAAAGTTCTGGAATGACAGGTGTGAGCCCCTGCACCCAGCCAGATGTTGTAATTATTACCATTACTAGTACTTAAAAAATGTTTCATTAAGTAAAATGACACAATTATTCCTATTCTGCAAAATGATTTAAAGATTAGGTCACATCTTAACATACCTGATATTGGAATGGCATTTATAATTCATAACTTTTTATACCAGGAATCGGTAGTATTTTAAAAGTATCTTATTAATGTAGAAAATAATAGGGTACCACAATATCTGTGAGGCCTTACATTAAGTAAAATACAGGATACACAGCAGGTCTAGAGCTCTTTTAGGCATCTAACTGGCACTTAAATTTTAGTTCTTAAAGGAACCATGGGAAAAGAGCACTGAAATAACATGTTTTTAAACAAATTATTTCTTACTTTGACTTTTGAAAAATGTGAAGCCAAAGGAAACTCATGAGTGAAATAAACAGGTATGGATCATTTTAGTCAACACTTAGATTTACAGAATATATGCAAGTCAGACTTTCTAATGACTTAGCGTTTTAAGACGGATAAATTTTCAAAAGGGCAGTTAAAGGTTATCTTTTACTATTTTTTTACCTTCAGAAATGCTTTTGTTTGAAAGCTGGGAGGAAAAGCTTCAATGAGATTAAGCCCTAATATTTCCATTTAACCTCTCTCATCTTGCCCAGGCAAAGCAGGTAAACAAAGTTTTTAAGAATGGAAGGGTTGGAGGTTTGGAGCCCCGGGAAGGCAGAGTCGCCCACTATGAACACAAGAAGGAAGCCAGACAGGAGAATCCTGGGCAGAAAAGCACCATCAGTTTTAACGCCGCTGCTCTGGCCCTGGGAAATAACAACCCAAACGCCCACTCAAGAGACCTAATCTGAAAGTTGGTAAATTCAAAGACCACAGGAGGATAAGCTTACAATGCTGGGAAGAAACCAGCGTAAAAAAGCTGAGAATACTCAAAGTCGGAACGCCTCTCCCTCTAAAGATGATCACAGTTCCACATCGACAATGGAACAAGGCTTGATGGAGAATGAGCGCCTCCTGATGACAGAATCACTCTTCAAGGAATGGATAATAACAAACTTCGGTGAGTTAAAAGAACACGTTGTAGCCCAACGTAAAGAAACTAGGAACTCTGAAAAAGGTTTGATGAAATCCTATTGAGAATAGACAACTTAGAGAGGAGTATGAGTGAAATAATGGAACTGAAGAATACAATACAGGAACTCCGAGAAGTATGCACAGGTTTAAACACTCGAATTGTTCAAGCAGAAGAAGGGATATCAGAGGTCAAAGTCCAACTTAATGAAATAAAACGCGAAGAAAAGATTAGAGAAAAAAGGATAAAAAGGAATGAGCAAAATCTCCAAGAAATGTGGGACTATGTGAAAAGACCAAATCTACGTTTGATAGGTGTACCTGAATGCTACGGAGAGAATGAATCCAAGCTGGAAAATACCCTTCAGGATATTATTCAGGAAAATTTTCCTAAACTAGCAAAGCAGGTCAATATTCAACCCCAGGTAATACAGAGAACCACAAAGATATTCCTCAAGAAGAGCAACCCCAAGGCACATAATCGTTAGATTCACCAGGGCTGAAACAAAGGAGAAAATACTAACGGCAGCCAGAGAGAAAGGTCAGGTTACCCACAAAGGCAAGCCTATCAGACTTACAGCAGATCTCTCAGCAGAAACTCTACAAGCCAGAAGAGAGTGGGGGCCAATATTCAACATCCTCAAAGAACAGAACCTTCAGCCCAGAATTTCATATCCAGCCAAACTAAGCTTCACAACTGAAGGAAAAATAAAATCTTTTTGAACAAGCAAGAACTCAGAGATTTTATTACCACCAGGCCTGCTTTACAAGAGCTTCTGAAAGAAGCATTACAGACAGAAAGAAACAACAAGTATCAGCCCTTCTAAAAATACACCAAAAAGTAAAGAGCACCAACATAAAGAAGAATTTACACCAACGAATGGATAAAACAGCCAGTTATCATCAAATGGCAGTAACCCTAAATTTAAATCGACTAAATCCCCCAATCAAAAGACACAGCCAAAACCCAACGGCATGTTACATCCAGACCTGTTTCACATGCAAGGATACACAAAGACTCAAAACAAAGGGATGGAGAAAGATTTACCAACCAAATGGAGAACAAAAATAAATAAATAAAAAGCAGGAGTTGCAATTCTCGTATCGGATAAAATAGATTTTAAAGCAACAAAGAGATAGTGGTAAAAGGATCAATGCAACAACAAGAGCTAACGATCCTAACACCCAGATACATAGAGACTTAGACACAATGAGACAGAAAATTAATAAGGATATCAAGGACTTGAACTCAGATCCGTAACAAGTAAACTTAATAAATATTTATAGAGCTCTCCACTTCAAATACACAAAATATACATTCTTGTCAATACCACATCACACCTACTCATAGGTTTAAATGAAACATTGATTGGCCATTATTAATACCCATTTTTTTTCAGAATAAAGCAATATTTCCATTCACTCTCCCTCTTTCTTCCTCTCCTTTACTCATTTTTTTCTTCTTTCCTTCTCTCAAAAAAAAAGAAATCAACTTGTAAACCTCTAAATCCAGGTTGGCAATGTCTCTCTCATTGCTTGATTTCCTTCCTTTCATTCCCTCCCTCCTTCCCTCCCTCCCCCCTTCCTCCCTTCCTTCATCCCTCCCTTCCTCCCCCCCCAAAAAAAAGAATGGAAGGGCCCTGAGAGAGAGTACAACCTGTCTGCTACATAGCAGGTATTCAGGTTATGTCTGATGAACAAATGGACTGAAAGAATTGATATAGTTGGGGAGTTCAATATTTTAAAATATAACTTCTGTAATCCAATATTTTTGTGATAGTAATTTTATTTGTGATTTGTTATTTTTATAAGACTACAACTAAAACAAAATGATTAATCTTTGTTTGCATATATGTAATGAATGTATACATAAGAAAAACAGATGCACATAACAAAATATATATGTAATAACATCTGCAAGCACAGATAAAAAGATTCCCTTTTTACTTCTGAAGAAGCTAAAAGTTCAAAGAAGATAACAAGCCACACAGTAATGATGAAAAATAGACAATGAGAAATTATTTTTATCTCCACAAGATTTATATTTCTCTCATCCCAAAAATTATTTCATGAATACATTTTTACTAGAATTGTTATACTCACTGAAGAAATGACAGTTTAAAAAAGGAACAAAGACTTCAAATATAAGTGCTCAGAAGTTACAAATTTTATCCTATTTTGTGCAAAGTTTTGGCTAACAGAACACCACAGTGTGTTTGTGCGTATGTCCAAGCAAACGGATTGTTTTCCTCACTGGATATAACAAAACACATCTTCACACAGCAACATATCTACGCTTACTGCCATCTTCAGTGGTCACCTATTCATTCTGTGGGTTCTTGTTAACATAAATGCTAAGAAAAACAAAGTGCCTGGATCTCTACTTTCTGAAGGCATTTTAATATAATGGAACTGATGAGTAAAGGGCATCTACATTTTTCAGTTTGGTGCAATTCCCACCAAATGGTCTACCTGACAAGTTAGCAGCAACTTCAACTTGAAGCAGCAGCGGAAGTGCCACTGCTCTTTCCTCTCACACACACTGTGGGTAGAAGACAGTCTCATTCCTCTTTAAACTTAAATTCTCTTACAAGAAACACTAAGGATTTTTTTCCTATGTAAGTCACTGTGGATCTGCAGAAAGTACTTTGCTCACTTTTAGAGTTCTTTTCTTGTGGATTTGATTTGAAAAAATTCCATGTAAAATGAAGATGTGGATTTTATTTATCTGTGTATATGCATAACTGATAAATACATAACATTATATTAGTAATATATACAATTTTTATATAATCACTAATAGATAAAATATTATATATAATAAAGAATAAATTCCCTGTAGGATGAAGATACACTTTTCATCTGAATATGTATTTATATATACATTAGTAAAATTAGATATATAGAGAGAATAGTTTTTAGGTATGTTATCTTTTGCTAATTGTTTTCGGATACACACGGTGTTTTAATTTTTAGTCCGCTAAATGAACTATCAGAATGCCAGCCTGTGAGGTCATTCTTAGAAAGGCCTTTGTCAACATAAAATGTACCTGTACAAATAGGCATTTCTGTTTTCTGCTGGTCCTTTTCTCATCTTGCATATGTAAAAATTTCAATCTGCGTTCCATCAGGAACTCATTTTTGGGACATAAAATGTCATTAGTTTTCTTCACACAGCAGGCATTTTATTAATAACACATCCTTTCCTACTCATCTGAAATGTTACCATTATCAATCCCTGCATCTATAGCTTACAGATATTTCCGTGTTTCTGGATTTCCTATTCTGTTCCATGTATTTATCTGTCTTTTCAGCTGTTAGTAAATAATTGTGGGAATTCATCGCACATTTTGACATCTAGAGGAGCAAGTCTTTTTTCACTCCATTATAAACATTTTTAAATGTCATCACAATAGTAAGATAGACAACAGCTGTCATGCAAAATGAAACCTTGATGTTTTCATTTGGTCTATGGAAAACTGATAAACATAGAGCTCACATTTTGAGAAAACTGAGTCTTCCCATTCAAGGAACCCACTTGAAGTTTCCCTCAAAGAAGTCCCAGGAAAGAACCTATCTGCATCGATTCGGATGTAAAACGGACACCGGGTTTTTAATCTGAGAACTTTTCCCCTACTGAAAATGACTCATGGTATTTTTGACAAGGGAATGAGTTCGCATTAGGCATTTTCCTATCATGTACACGACACCATGTTTTAAACGTGCCTATGCTCAAGTTTGTGAGTTAAATCATTCAAATTTTACACCAAGTTCTCCAGGCAGGGAATTGCCAGCGATGGAAAGCAGCTGAGGCTCGCTTTCGCCCCACTGCTTTGAGGCTGCCCGGCGCCCTCCAAGACCCGGTCCCAGGGGCTGCAGGGAAGCCGGGCCTGGGACCCCCCTCTGACCCCGGGCTGAGCCCCAGACACAAGCCCCCGCTACCTGTCCTTTCTGTCGCGGGCGTCCACATCCCGGCTCCTGCCCTTCAGGAGACAGCGCCGCACCTTCGCAGCATCGCCCTGGAGGGCCGCCCTGTGGATCTCCCGCAGTTCCCAGTCCCGGATGTGGTACCCGGGACCCGAGTACTTGTCGTCGATGAAGTCCCGGATCGCCTGGCCCAGGCGTCTCCCAAAGCTAAAGAGGTTCCACATGGTGGCGGCTTCTCCTCAGAAGCCCACCACCGACTCCTGAGCCGCCGGGCTCCTCGTGGCCTTGCAACCCTCACCCAGCCCCAAATCTGCGACCCACCCCGAACCAGGGGTCCACCCCCAAACCCGCGATCAGAATCCGCGATCCAGCCCGGTCCACCACAGCCAGCAGCAGCAGCGAGACTCGCAGCCTCCGACCTCCGACGGAGTGAGCCGAGTGAGGCCGTTAGGCCCGCGCCTGCAGCTCAGCGCCCGCCCGGACTCCGGAAGCCGCTCCCAAGCCAGCGCGCGGCAGGCAGGTGGCGGTTGCAGCGCCGGTGCAGGCGCCTCTGGCTGGCGGGTTCTCCTGCGCTCGCCTGGAACGTCCAGGAATCGCCCGCGCGCAGCCCGCCAGGCCTGAGGTACCGCATGGCGCTCGGAGCGCCGGAGCCCCCGCAGGAGCAGCCCTGGCCCCTGCCGGTGCAGGTGGAGCTGGGTAAGCTGCTGGCGGAGATACTGGTTGCAGGCCACTCAGATGTCGTCTAACCTGGCAGATGCCATCTAACCTGGCCAAGCCACGCGACTCTTCCCGGCTCGATCCACTGCTCTACCACCTGTACTCCTGCAATGTCTGCCAGATCGGCTTCCTGAGGCCGCACCCGGCCTACGTGCAGCTGCTGGCGACGGCCGCGGAGCCCACACTGACCACCATGGGTGGATGTGCCCATGCTGTGCCCGCCGCTGCCTGGACCTCGCCGCACACCGGTGCCTTCTTGCTCAGCCCCACCAAGCTGATGCGTGCGGTGGACTGCACCATGCACCACCAGCGGCTGCTGGAAAACAGCCCGCCCACCGCACTGCAAGGCGCCCTGGACACGCTCACCCAGCTGGGCAACTGTGCCTGGCTTGTCAAGGGGCGCGTGCTGGACCTGGTGCTGGAGCTCTTCCAGGACAACGGCTGCCCCAAGCTCCGCATGCTGGCCCTGCCGATCGAGGTGGTCCCACCGCACTAGGCCCCCCTGCCGCCCACCTGGCGCGCTGCCTGAAGGAGGCCGGCGAGGTGCACAGCCTGTGCGTGGCTGCGCTGTACAGCCTCTCGCTGGCGCAAAACCTGCGGAACTGCGTCTTCTGGCTGCCACACAATAATGGCCTCTGCTGACAGCCAGCCACCAGCAGTGCAGCCCCCGATAGACGTGCCACTGGCAGAGTAGCTCTGGGATAGGGCCAACACGCTGCACCCCACAGCAGGAAGTGTAACACCCGCTGGTGGCTCCACCTGCCCCTGCCTCAGACACTGCAGCACCCGATGGTGCCTGCAATCCCCGCCCCCCCCCTTGGGGTCCTGCACATCTGCCAGGGGACTAACGACCTGCAGGAGTCCCCGAGACCGCCAACGTAGAGATGTCTTGTTCAACCTGAGGGAGAGTGCGGGGAAATGAAAGAAAATAGAAAAGTGGAGTCTGGAGGGCTGGCTTACTCTATGTCCAACCAGCAATTTTATTTTTGCAATATGTTTCCTTATATACTTTTCTGAAGTCAAAGTTGTTTACACCAGATCAATGTACAGATTAAGTTACAGTAAGCAAGTTACGCCCACTAAGTTACGCCCAGTAAGTAAGTTAATCCCATTAAGTAGGTTATGCCCAATAAGTAGGTTACTTTCAGTAATTAGGTTAAGCCCAATAGATCAGTGTAAGTAAGTTACAATCACGCCCTGTAAGCTATGGTAAGTAAGTTACAGTTACACCCAGTAAGTTGGTAAGTTACCAAGTGTAAATACTTAAGTTAATATTTTACAATGAAGGCCAAAAGGGTCCAAAATGAACACAATCAAGCAATAAACCATAAGAAGTCGAAAGTGGACACATTGACTCCCAAGTCATCATATTCATAAAGTAGTGTCTGTTAACTATTTAGAATAACATAGTCCTTCTCTCAGTTCCTGCTTTCCCTCAGCTCGACTCCCCCAACCGGGGATCTGTGTCCGGGCTCAAGCTCACCATATGGCGAGGCCCATTTCCCAGGGGCCTCACACGGGAGCGATCCCCCCAGATTCCCTCACCCCCCACCCAACCCCACTCTGTGCAGCATGCCCCAGGATAATGCCCCCAATTTACTCCCTTCCATGGGCAGTTCACCACATACAGCATCCCCAACCAGAATCTTATTGTGGTCAGTGACACCCCGATATGCCACCCAAACTAACCCCCATCGTGGGCAGTGCAACCCCAGATAGCACCCCAATCCCCTCCCTACTGGGTGCAGTGCAGGCCCCCATAGCTCCTCCAACCCACTTCCTGCCTCAGGAACTGCAGCCAGGGATAGCGCTCCAAACTTGCTACCCACCTCTGGAAATGTAGCCACGGATAGTCCGCCCAATCCATCCCCCACCATGAGCAGGGTAGCTCCCAGTAGCGGACCCAACCTGCCCCTGCCACAGCCAATATGCCTCGGATAGCACACCCACCTGCTCCCTGCCAGGCAACACAGATCCCTGATAGCACCCAACATGCTCCCTCACCATGAGCAGTCTATCCTGCCCCCAACAGCGCCCCCAGCCAACCCCCACCTCCTCTCCTCATGCAGTCTGGCCTCCAGTAGTGCTCCCAAGAAACACTCCCCACCTCTGCCTCAGTGTAGCCCCTGATAGCACTCCCCGCCACCAGGAGTGTAGCACCCTATAGTGACCATAACCCATCCCCGCCACTGGGATTCGAGCCCCATAGTGTCCCCAACCCACCCCCTGCTGAAGGCAGCAGCCTTGGATAGTGCCCCAACCAGTTCCCAGATGGAGGCAGTGACGCCCTGGATATCACGCTCCCCACCCACCATGGACAATGTAACACCCCACAACGCCCCCAACCTATTCCTGACAAAGGAATTGCAGCATCCTATAGCTCCCCCAACTTGCCCCCCAATTACACAAGGTAATTACACTATGCCCCCAATCCTATAGCTCCCCCAACTTGCCCCCCAATTACACAAGGTAATTCATGCTGGCGAGAAACCCTACAAATGTGGAGAATGTGGCAAAGACTTTTTTTTTTTAAATAAAAAAGATGGTGTTTCACCATGTTGGCCAGGTTGGTCTCGAACTTCCAGTCTCAAGTAATCCAACTGTCCCCACCTCCCAAAGTGCTGAGATTACAGGGGTGAGCCACTGTGCCAGTCAGAATCTTCAGATTTCTATCTGGTGAGGTTGGGGAGGTATTCTTGAAAGGTACAGCTGCAGTGAGCATGTGTGATTGGAAAGAGACTTTGAACCTTTCGTCTTATAAACTGCCCATCCCACATGAGTTAGAAATACTCTTCATAACTCCCTAATGGAGCCATGGGACAAAATGTTATTAATACTATTTCAGGTATGTCTGGCTTTTGACCTTGGCCAGCAGTGGTTCTGAGGAGTGATTATTTCCGATGCCTACTAGATTTCATTTTTTAACAAGGAACATCCTTGAGTGTGTCTACTCCTTCCTTCTGTTTTTTTTAGCACCCCTCCCCCAAAAGTTGGGTAACATTAAGGAGGAAGGACAAGTCACTGCCGTGTGTAGATTTCATATCAAATGCACAAACTCCACTTGCTGCCAAACAGGGGTTTAACCTTCCCCAGATCTTTGGTTGTGCATAATTAATGCATTGTTCCGTATTTGACTTTTGTGCCTTTCATACAGATTTCATCTTAAAGGATGCTTCCGGGTTCTGTGCTCACAAAAGCACACTCCGCAGATTTCATGACTTTTGCTTTTGGGTTTTGAGGAGACCCTTGCTTGAGTTTTCCTAAAGAAGATGATCTGTGTGGATACAATACTCAATGTCTTTTAAATTTTTCAGCAACTATTTATCCAGTGCCTAGCACTGTGCTACCAAAGGATTGGAAATGAATAGCTACAATATAGTTACTATTACTAATATTAATATTAGGAGGAGGAGGAGGAGGAGGAGGAGGGGAGGATGATGAGGCTATTTTAACGTGCCACTGAGGTATGAGTTTTACAGGTAACTTCCCCTGCATTTTTTTTTTTTTCCTGAATCTTCAGCAGTCCTGTGAGGTGGGATCATCAGTCTGAGTTTCAAAACTAAATACCTGGGGCTCAGAGCACCAAATGACTTACCAAAAGCCATCTGCAAAAAGGATCACTTGAGCCTGGGAGTTCGAGGCTGCAGTGAGCCCTGATTGCAGCACTGCACTCCAGCTTGGGTGACAGAGCAAGACCCTGTCTCCAAACAAAAACCAAACAAAGCAACACAAAAAACCCACATGCAGGGCAAGTGGCTGAGTTCAGGTGGAAATCCCCCACCCTGCCCTGTAGAACCTCTCCTTCCCACCGTGCTGTGTTGCTGCAGCCAAGCTGTTGCCCTTTTGGGGAACAGAGGTGGAGGACCAGAGGGCGCCTTCATGAAGCCACCAGGCTCTAGCGGAAAAGTGTCGAGCCGAGGGAGACCTGCAAACCCAGTTCCCATTCATGCCCACTGTCGAGAATGCTTTGGGGGGGTATCCTCTACATGGTTTCTTCCTGGGCAAAGGCAGCACTCCCTCAGTCTGCCCTCTTGCCAAGTAGAGGAGATGTAAGAACATGTTTTCTATTGATTTTTAAAAGCAATTCAGGACCCAACTGGTAATAATCAGTGTGACCCGTGCTGTTCTCCAGGCAGTCACAAGCAGCTCGGGAGCCTTGTTGTGTGACTCTGGTGTTTGGGATGTGCATTCTTTGAAGATTACTTCTAAAGCAAGGCGTCCAAATCCTTAATTCACGATTCTGTCTATTCCTGCGGTGTTTACATTCCACCATGGCAGAAGATCACTGAGAAAAAGAAAGATGAAAATGCACTTTTAAAAAGGGCTTTTCTTGTGTGGGCCTCTTTCAAAGACCCTAACCCTTTCCCCTCTTGTTGATGCCAAGGTCTGTGTTTCATCTACAGGGAACATATATATTAATGGGTGATTTAAAGGTTTGTCACACTGTGGTGACACATGCAGGCTGAGCTCTCGGGGCACTGAGCTGCGTGGAGTAAGTGCTGGGCGTGATTTCGGGTGTTGGGGCAGGTCTCTCTGGCATCGTCTGTCTGTCAAAGGGCTCTGGTGTATTTTGCTAGGAAGCGCTTTCTGCCCTTTTGCTGAAGTCAGGTCTGCAAGGGTCTTGGGGAAAGTGGCTGGTGAAGCTGATTGATTTGGCCGGTAAGCAGAGCAGGACCTTGCTAGGGCTGGTCATGAAGAGAGGGACGAGTCTTCTACTTAGAGAAGTCATTGAGCTTTGGAGTCTGAGAGCTGAGTAATATGCAGACACAGGGACTGGGAAGACCCTTTGATTCTCTAAAC